TTAACTAATATTTTAGCTAAAATCTGAGAGTTGTACGTAATCCCATCTGACTGGTCACAATCACTGATTGTCCCAATATATATGAAGGGGTCAAAATCATACTTACTTACTTACGCCTGTTACTCCTCGTGAAGGAGCATAGGCCACTCACCAGCATTCTCCATCCAACCCTGTCCTGGGCAATCCTTTCTAGCTCCGTCCAGTTGTAATTCATCCTTTTCATATCTGCTTCTATAATCCGACGCAATGTGTTCTTTGGCCTTCCTCTTTTTCGCCTCCCTTCAGGGTTCCAAGTTAGGGCTTGCCTCGTGATGCAGTTTGACGGTTTGCGTAATGTATGTCCTATCCATTTCCATCGTCTTTTCCTAATTTCTTCTTCAGCTGGAAGTTGCTTTGTTCTCTCCCACAGAAGGCTATTGCTGATGGTATCCGGCCAGTGGATGTTGAGTATCTTGCGTAGGCAGCTATTTATAAATACTTGTACTTTCTTGATGGTGGTTGTTGTAGTTCTCCAAGTTTCAGCTCCATACAGTAGAACTGCCTTGACGTTCGTATTGAAGATTCTCACTTTGATATTGGTTGAAAGTTGTTTTGAGTTCCATATGTTCTTCAATTGTAGGAATGCGACCCTTGCTTTGCCGATCCTCGCCTTTACGTCTGCATCTGAACCTCCTTGTTCATCGATGATGCTTCCTAGGTATGTGAAGGACTCTACATCTTCCAGAGTTTCGCCATCAAGAGTGATTTGATTGCTGTTCTGCGTGTTGAATTTGAGGACCTTGGTTTTCCCTTTGTGTATGCTGAGGCCTACTGATGCAGAGACTGCTGCTACACTGGCTGTCTTCATCTGCATCTGTTCGTGTGTACGTGATAGGAGGGCTAGGTCGTCTGCGAAGTCCAAATCGTCTAATTGATTCTGAGTTGTCCATTGTATTCCGTGTTTTCCTTCAGATGTCGAGGTCTTCATAATCCAGTCGACCACCAGAAGAAAGAGGAAGGGAGAGAGTAAACAGCCTTGTCTGACTCCAGTCCTTACTTGGAATGCATCTGTCAGCTGTCCTCCATGCACTACTTTGCACTGTAGTCCGTCGTATGAGTTCCGGATAATGTTGACAATCTTCTCAGGAACTCCGTAGTGTCGAAGAAGTTTCCATAATGTCCTCCTATCTACACTGTCGAATGCCTTTTCATAATCAATGAAGTTGATGTATAGTGATGAGTTCCACTCAACTGATTGTTCGACGATGATCCGTAGTGTTGCAATTTGGTCTGTGCACGACCGATCCTTACGGAATCCAGCTTGTTGATCTCGAAGTTGGGCGTCTACTGCATCCTTCATACGGTTCAGCAACACTCTGTTGAAGACTTTCCCTGGTATTGACAGTAGTGTAATGCCTCTGTAGTTTTCACATTTGCTCAGATCTCCTTTCTTTGGAATCTTGACGAGGTGTCCTTCTTTCCAGTCCATCGGCACTTGTTCCTCCTCCCAAATCTTTTTGAATAGAAGGTACAGCATGCTTGTGGTTGCTTCGATGTCTGATTTCAGTGCTTCAGCTGGTATGTTGTCGGGTCCTGCTGCTTTCCCGTTCTTGATTTGTCTGACGGCCATTCTAATTTCTTCCGTCGTTGGTGGGTTGACATCTATAGGAAGATCTATGTGTGCTGCTTCGATGTCCGGTGGATTCATTGGAGCCGGCCTATTCAGGAGTTCCTCGAAGTATTCCACCCATCTGTTACGCTGATGTTGAATTTCGGTGATTGGCTTGCCTTCTTTGTCTTTGACCGGCCTCTCTGGTTTACTGTATTTCCCTGCTAGTTTCTTCGTTGTATCGTAAAGCTGTTTCATATTTCCTTCTCTAGCAGCTTTTTCTGCCGTCGTTGCTAGTTCTTCCACGTATTTCTTCTTGTCGGCTCTAATGCACCTCTTCACTTGTTTGTTTGCTTCTATGTATTCAGCTTGTGCTTGAACTTTCTCTGCTCGTGTTCGGCTGTTGTTAATTGCTGCCTTCTTGTTCTTCCTTTCTTTGATCTTGTCCAGTGTTTCTATAGAGATCCATTCCTTATGATGGTGTTTCTTTAGGCCCAGAACCTCTTGACACGTTGAAGTTAATGCTTCCTTGATGCCTTTCCAGTTGTCCTCCATACTAGTTTCTTCTTCTTTCAGTAGATCTTGTAAGGCTTGGAACCTGTTGTTGAGAGCTATCTTGAATTCATTGAGTTTGTCAGTATCTCGAAGGAAGGCTGTATTGAACCTTTGTAGTGCTGTTGGTCCACTTGTCCAGTTCTTTTTTAGCTTCAGTTTTAAATTGGCTACAACTAGGTGGTGATCTGAAGCTACGTCAGCACCTCTCCTGGTTCTTACATCTTCCATTGTCCTTCGGAATTTTTTGTTGATGCAAATATGATCTATTTGGTTCTCTGTAGTGTGGTCCGGTGAGATCCATGTAGCCTTGTGTATACGCTTGTGTGGAAATATTGTGCCTCCTATGACCAATTTGTTGAATGCACATAGATTTGCAAATCTTTCTCCATTTTCGTTTCTCTCTCCCAGTCCATGTCGTCCCATGATATCTTCATATCCGGTGTTGTCTATTCCGACTTTGGCATTTAGATCTCCCATCAGAATAGTTAGGTCCTTTCTTGGCATTTCTCAATGATTGACTGCAGCCGCTCGTAGAACTGATCTTTAATGTCGTCGTTGCTATCATTGGTGGGTGCATAACATTGGATAATATTCATTAAGATCCCCTCCTTCTTTGTTTTGAATGATGCTTTGATGATTCTGGATCCGTGAGACTCCCATCCTACAAGTGCATTTCGTGCTACTTTGGACAGCATAAGAGCGACTCCCTGAGTGTGTGGAGCATTGTCCTCTTCGTGACCGGAGTATAGCAGCATCTCTCCCGTAGCTAGCCTTTTCTGTCCAGCTTGGGTCCAGTGGGTTTCGCTGATTCCCAGTACTGCTAAGTTGTATCTCCTCATTTCCATTGCTATTTGACTGGTCTTCCCGGTTTCCCACATTGTTCGAACGTTCCATGTACCTATAAAAATTTTTGCTCTGGTTGTTAGAAGGGGCATCGGCCTCGTGGCTTCCGAAGGAACTCGGCTTTCACCATGAAGCGTCATAATTCTTCTAACTGAAGACCTTCTAACTCCCAGGGCAGAGTTTAAATGGTTTGAATTATTTTTTCTGGTAAGCGTTTTTTTAGCGAGTTAGTTTTCTACGGGATGGGGACGCTAACCCCATGCCCAACCCTCCTCCTTTACCCGGGCTTGGGACCGGCAGTAACCCTATTAGAGCTACAGGCGGAGTTGGTCAAAATCATAGCATCTAAAATACTAGCTTTAATAATTATCGGGTGCTTAACAAGGACTCGTGAAGTGAAAACACAAGAAGATCAGGCTGGCTTCAGACCTGGTCGTGGCTTCACCGACCATATATTCACCATTCGTCAGATCTTAGAACACAAGCATGTTTATCGACGTCCAACAATGGTGGTCTTCCTTGACTTAAAACAGCATGTGGCTCGGTAGACCGCGAAATTCTGTAGGAGTGTCTGTCATTAAAAGACGTATCTCAGAAGTACATAAACCTGTTGAAGGCTCTACTCGAACGCTACTAGTCGAGTCAGAGATTATGACGAACTGTCATCTGCTTTTGCAACCTCAAGTGGTGTCCGTCAAGGCTGTCCACTTTTTCCATCTTTGCTTAATTTCATCATAGAAATAACATTCTTGTCGACTGAATTTTCGGCCATTGCTCTCCTACCAGGAGGTCCACTTATCGACTTAGAATACGCAGATGATATGGTCCTGTTTGGTGAAGACGCTGATAAAATGCAGTGTCTTTTGGTAGCACTCAGCAACAATGCCAGGATATTACGGAATGATGGTAAGTCAGTTGTTGTTCCTTTTACTCAGTGACAAACTACGTAGAAATTCTCGCATATTTTGCTTTGTAGACCTTGGAGTAAGTCGATAAATTTTATGCGACGTACGATATTTAGACCGTAGACTAAATTACCAAAGGCATTGTTTTCTGTTCTCAAATGTTGTCAGTAACTTTGTTGATTCTATATGGAATTTTGTGATGCGTCGAAGATTTTTAAGCGAGGTGGAAGTTTGTACATGGGCATAAAGATTTTATAATTTGATGTTGGAAGTAGCATGAGTTGAGACACTGATCAGAAAACTCAAGTCAAGTTACTTCTCACAACATTTTTCAGCCTATCATCATCAAGTGACACAATGACTCAGAATATTGTACAACTTTCCTCAGTGTCCCATATAAGCTAAGTGCTAAAGAGGGGAATACATAATTGTTATGGACATTTTTTGTTAAAAGGTATTTTGTGCGATATTAGCATATTACATTAATAACTATGAAATATACCAGTCATATATATGCCTAATTCATTAGATAAATAGCTTAGTTAAACTAAACAATTATTGTTTTAATTAACCAATTATTATCAGTGTTTAAACAGACAGCAGTCAACAAACATACATACAAAGATGCAACCAAAAAAAGTTTAGACTAGAAAAGCGGCAACAGCTACAACAAATTTTAAAACACAACAAACGAAAAAAAAACACAAAAGTTCAACATGACAAGAATAGATGGGTAGTCTCAGTTTGTCAATGATCAGGGAAGAAAATACACAAACATTGGAATGATATTGGAAAGAAAATAAGCTGGAATAAACAACTATCACTGTGTTTTGTTAGACTATGAAGTTGTTATATTGAAAGGAGATGTTACTTTTCCTTCCTCTCCTGGTCGTCAACTCATCGGGATTAGAATATGAAAAGCAAATAAAAACACATCTCATGATCATCGAAAGACAAGTGAGCTTGAACATGTTGTAAGTAAGTAATGGTCAAGAACAGTCAATGATCTGATAACTATGAAAGCTATTGTTTATTTGTGACAGATATATAATATAGGCAAGAAAAAATGTAACACTTATAGTTTCTGCTATGAATTATATTTAATTTCTTTAGTAACTTATATTATGTAAACCCCAAGCATAAGTAGTGAATGTTAACAAGCGTTTTGTATTTGATATTGTAGTCATTGTATCTTTATTTATAAATGATTCATTTGTCATAGGACTGATACACGTTATAATATTACCTAATTCAAGGCATTCTATATAACATAATGTCTCTTCATTGGAATCAGTGATACCGGCGTCAATTAACCATTGTTCCAGGGTGTACTGATAAAATATTTGTTCGTAGTGAATTGAATTAATTCTAAATAAAGAAATAAATAACAATAGGAGAGAAATCAAGCTTATAAAATACGGAGAATTTATATTCGAAGTAGTGAGTCAATTAGTCATATGGAATGTTTGCGCATCGGTCCAAATTGCTGTACCACATTAACACAGAGAGATAAAATTATCAAGACTAATTTTACAGTAGTGATAATAGTAATAGTGGGAAAGATTAGGTATAGCAAGAAGGAAACAAAGTAAAAGGAGATTTCGGAATTCAGTATATAAAAGAAAACCAAGAGCAAATTTACATTTGCCATTATGAAGGATTCTGACTTATATCACCTCAAAGCCCTAACCATTGCTTTCGATAATTGCACTGATCTGAACCAGGTAGTTCATGCCTGTTTGAATAGTCCAGTACAACTGTCGATAATTTCACGAGCTAGTGTTATGTATTCGTTTGGTCACGCCTAGTTTTTCTTCCTATACATCAGACAACATTGACTTCATGGTAGGTCATTGATCGTAAGTAGTACATGTACTAACCATCTTAGTTCATCAGGATTCACCACCTCATCAAAAGACTTGCCATCCTTAGTTAGTGCCCTATTGATGACCTTAGTATTGCTCACTCGGTGGTTCGAAAATGCATGACGAATTCTTGGGAGATACATCTCAGCAAATACTAGTAACTTAAGAATGTCCTCTATTCTAACTTTACAATTATATCCAAAGTGATATGAGAAGTAAGTTCACTTAAACAACTTTCCAACTAGAAAATCTCAAAATGGTGAGTGGATCGATATTAAAAGTTGTGAAATACTGCTAAGGCGGTCTCAAGAATAGTCAGATTTTATTAGAACGGTTAAGATCTCTTCTGGAACGATAACTGCTCGCATATTTTCTACCAATTTGATTTTTCGCACGACCTATGCCCTCTGATTTGTTGTCATGTTTATTTAGTTCGCCAAATTGATACATGCTCGAAGGTCATATGCTGCTAGTATAGTAACAACTTTTGCACCCATTTCGTTGAGTTGCTTGTTCTATCACATATATCAAGTTACCTGCAATTCCGTCTTTTTCCTGTCTTAGCCGTCGAGGTTTGATGTGTGGAGTATAATTGACTGTTGTCAGTTCCGAATAAAACCTTATAGCGTTAGAGGAGCTCAATCGTTTTCGTTCCTAAACCCGTAACATCGTGGGCCGTATTGAACCCTAATAACAAGACACAACAAATACAAGAATGGATTTGTTGGGTTGATTGGAGATTGAGGAAAGAAGAAACTTTTGTGTACAAGTGATTTGGCCGGGTATCAAAATTAGTAATGAACTTCATCTAGGAAACATGGGTGATGATGACTGATCACTGAATGTCGTATGTTAGTTGACTTTAGTCGATAGAGCCTTGGTGTGGTTACTACCAGTCAATATGACTTGAATCCGCGTGCGCTACACTTTGGTGTGATGTTGTTTCAACTCAATGAACAATCATTAAAAATATTTTAGTCCGAGAGGAGATTAATTGTAAGCAAAATAGCTCAATGTTAAGTGAAGTGGGTTTAAATACCATGAGGAGAAGTAATTTCATCAAGATTGCACATATGGTTTGTTGACAAGTTTTCCAAGAACAAAGCATAGATTTATAGTTTCTTGTCAATCGAATGCAACTATATAACATAGTTCACATTCCGAACGAATAACTCACTAATGATCAACTATCATTGTTTAATCCAAATGTATAGTGGTAATTCATTCTTTAACTCCTCCTGTAGCGCCTCTAGGGTTACTCCCGGTCCAAAGCTCGGATAACGAGGAGGATTGTAGACCGGGTCGACAACCTCATTGATAATAATCATAATAATCAAGATATTGTAACAACATAAAAACTACATAAAAATGTTTTTGTCTTACTTACATTTTCCCAGTACCAATATTTGTTGAACATGATTTTAGATGAAATTTCACAAACTGATTCACTATTTTATCAATTTTACTCTTATCAACAGTTGTCTGATGCAAAGCTTCATTAAAACTTCCATTGAATTGTTTACTGGTGAAATGACTAAACCAACGTGATAAACTTTTATGGAAACAAGCAATGAATATAATGGAAGAGAGCGAGCGAGAGAGAACGTTAAAAAAAGAATGAATACATGTATATATATTATTATTGATTATCGTAAGTAAACAAAAGTAAACAATGATTGGTAGGATGATCGTGGCTTCAAGTTGCCTACGTGTACTGTTTTATAATTTCAATTAGCATACATTTCATCGAGTAGCATCCAAGTGCTAATTCTACAGAGAACGGAGTACTTCATTAATATTTTGGTTAAACTATGATTCTATTCAATTATTTATAAATAGAAGTATAGATAGAATCCAATTGATTCGCATTCAGCTTAGTAACTTACGATTACTTGGTAATTATGTATAGGTTCACGATAGAAAGTTATGTTACTGTATTACGGAACTATAAAGTGAATAGGGTTGATGTTAGATGTCGGTGTTATGGAGTACAATTTTGATGACTTAATGAACCAATTTCCAACTTGTAAAAATGAAAGAAGACCGATAGATGAATTCAATGATATGATGTTTCCAACTGATAGCTGTTTACGAAATTGCATTATTGATTAACTCTACAATCAATTGGGATTTGATTGTTTAGCTTAATTTTTGTGGATAGTATCAGTAGTGTACTACATAAAAATGATACATCGTTTGATTGTGCTGTGAATATTCATAGATTAAGGTGGTTTTTTTGTAATGTAATAGTCAAATAAACGAGAAATGAAAAAGAAGCAATAAGAAACATAAACATGTACTCGAAAGAAATCATCATTGGAAAAGAAAGTACTTGGAAATATGAAAAAAAAACAGTTCAGATTTTGTCTTATGATGTCCAAATCACATTTGTTATTATTTGAAAAAAAAACACACAACAACAACCGAATTACTTATTTACACCTGTTACCCCTCGTGAAAGAGGATAGACCGCCCATCAGTATTCTCCATAGAACCGAATCAATCTTACTAATACCATTGAATCAATATAACTTATTTACCAAATAGATATTCATACACTTGACTAGAATTTAACTGAACTGATTCTTGAATTACAACAAGTTGTTCGTCAATTGTGGAGAAATTCTTAACTCACACTAATGGTCTATAGTTCATACTGATAATGTATTAAAAGATAGTAAAAGCTAACACGACTAAATCATCTAGCTGAGAGAATATAATTCTAATAAGATGCAATCGAATAACATAGAAACATTATTTAATCGGATTAAATGTTATGACCCCAATATCGATATTATGTAACATTGTAAATAAAAAACATTTTATGGATAGAATAGTTTTTTTGTAAAAAAATCATTAATCTTAGGCATCACTAGTAAGTGATTAGAAAAAGACTGGATATTGGTATTTCAATTTAAAGCATAGAAACTATTCACCATAGAGACAGAAATTTGTTCCAAGAAATAAGAATTTACAAATTATTTAGTTGAAAAAGAATAAAACAAACACATTTTTAAATGATGAATTATATAGAGAAAGAATAGTAGGAAGTCGGTGATCCTTGAAGTTAATTAAGTTGAACAGTTGATATGAAGAGTTCTAAACCATGAATTAACTGAAGCGGTAAAATATGAACCAATGAATACTGAGTCAATATAGCTGAATAATACTTTGTTTTCATTATAAAACGTGAAGAATGGTGTGTTCAATCCAGAATGGTAGAAGCAAGAGCAACAAATGAGGACTAGATGACAATCTGATGATGTCTAGCTTCAGGATAATTGCCCAAATGTTATCGCTATGTCATTAGTAAAACAGAGAGGTCAAGCCGAGAAGTGGCACCAGTCCATGAATAGGTTGACAGCTGAACTAAAGTGTATTAGTAGATGCAGACTACTTGGTCGGAGTCGGTGCGGTTATGGTAACCACTAATTGGAAACGTTGGGTGACTTGACTCAGGAAAGGCCTTAATGGTGTAGATATATCCAATTTTTATATTCTCTTAGATTTTTAGTTTCAAAATTATCTCATACTTTTATTCCGTGAATTTGTTCTTTCTTATTGGATCGTATTGTCCATTTTTTATAACCACTGATATTGATAATTTCATCTTGTTTAATGATATAATGTAGTAATTTGAGTAGATACATGTATATAGCAGTTTATAAGTTCCTTATAACTGTCCTTTAAAAACTCAGTTTGGTAGAATTAGATATTCGTTTGCAACCGCGTACATTTCCATGGAACAGACTATGTGGTGATAGTTTAAATAAAAATGGGTCAAATGGAATCCAGACAGATTTTCCCGAACTAACGAAATCAAATTTCATGAGATTACAATTGATACTCTTAGCTTAAAAACTGCTATACTAAGTAAAGTTTCAACCACTGAATAATACAACATGTCACTTCACATGACTATTAAGTCATACTAACGGCCACCTCTTTTTAGTTTCAACACTTTTAAATACAAAGTGTCACATCACAGATCAACTTTGGTCAAACGACCATTGAGCACCAGAAAGCACTGGACAACTGGAAGGTTGTGGGTGAGCATCACCAAGGAGTCTCTGATCGGGATGAAACAGTTGTCCAGTTTTCGGTGGTTACCTAATTAAAATCAATCAGTGGTGTGAAACTATATATTCAACAATCTCCACAACATTTCGTTATAGATTTCAAATATGAAGAAATGTAGAACAAGTACAACTAGTACTATATCCATGATTTAGGGTCAGAAAGTAAGTAAGTAGAAAGCGGTAAGGTGTTTAAATTCAGTTTTATACTTACAAACGTTTTATCGGCACAATAAACAAATCTGCATCCAGACCAAATAATACAAATAAAACTACACCTTGACCAAAATTAAAAGAACCATCCAAAAATTCGAGAACTATGTAAACACCCGTTGGAGCATCATGTACAAGCCTCCAAGTACACAGACAAATACCCTAAAAAGAGAAGAAAAAAGATAAGAATGAACATAGTGGGATCTCATCTGCTCAAAATGACGAAACCTATCATAAAGAGATAATAACGTTTAATGTGATGATTAGAATAAGTAAGCTGATGTGATTCACAAAATAACGTTGTGAACGAAGCTGACAAATTTACGATTGAATGAACTCCTAACAAAATACAAGTCTTTTGCTGTTATCTACCGTACATAACTCAAAACTGGTTAGATTCATACCATTCAATAATTAAGTATTTTGTACCATTAAAATGAAGGTCATTTGCTTTGAAGTAATATGTCGCAGTTGTTCTATAACAGTTGAAGATGTTGTCAAGCTTAAGTATCATATTTCATTCATATTCACTGTTTAACTTAATTATGTATTTAGAAACATGTGTAGCGACAAAAATGTGAATAAATGTCTAACAACAATAATTTTGAAAATATAGCCAGAAATGGGGATCTGAGGAAAATCTGATCTTATCTAAGTTGCCAGCTGCAGAAGACGAACGTAAAAATAGACAAAAAGAAAATACTAATATCCATTACAGTGGAGAATTACCAACGTAAGGAACTATAGTTCAAAACAAATATATGTAAGTAGTGGATGAAATGATATTGTTGTAACGGGTGATCGGATTAGTGACACGTTGAACCGTAAGAACGACCTAGAGTTCCGATTGGTTCTGCTTCGCTGTCTAGCTCAGCCAGTTGAGTCCAGAACAAAAGTCACATGCCCTGAGATATGAATCATTATATTTCAGACATACTCTATTTATATACCAACCAACCAGACCACATTGTACCATAAAATAGAAAAACATTCGTACAATATTTGACAGGTGAAATGAATATCGACCAATGGAAATGTCCATTTAACGTCTAAGGACACCATTAGACTTAACACGATAATTATTGGTATATTCCTCTGCATCCCTAACAGATATCAAGCTCAAAATGACAAATAAACGTGGTTACACAACACCGTAATTTTTTTATTATATCATTTAACTTTAGATTCTCATAAAAAACGATCAGTATTTCAAGAAGATTAGGTAATTTGATTGAAATCATGATCCGATCAATATTAGAACATTGAAAAACTGGAAGCACTGGACGACCGTTTTGTCCTAGTATGGGGCTCCTCAGCAGTACGCACGTGAATTGGATCCGGCGCCTCCGATCTCGCGCGAACGCTTAACTTCTAGATCACTGAGCTGACATTAATCGGTGTTAATGTCTAACTCCGATTAGTCTGCAATATTGTGTAACTATCTTCCATTGTCTTCAGTGGATAAATGTCTTACGCTCGACACGGTTGGACCCCACAGTTCACGGCTGCTCATTAGAACTCTCAGAATACTCTCTCAAAGCTAGTCACTAATCAGAACATAATAATTTTAGTATGGGGTTGTGGAAATTGATCGGTTGATGATTTCAATCTCTACAACCCTATATTAAAGATAAGATGTTTATTTTTTCAACAAACTATGCTGTAGTTTTTGTTCACTTTACTTTTAATGTTATAACACTTTAAAAAAATCTAAACGTTTACTGCAACTCGGTAAGGGTTGATGTATCTGGTGCTGAATTAAGCTTACTGAATGAGGTCTGAATATGCCAATCACTCATGAAGTGACTGAAATAAGATTTCTAACACAAGATTGTTTCAATGATTGGAAGTCAAACAGAACAGCAAATAGATTGTAAGTTGTATGGTAAAAAAACGTTCAATCAGATCGATTTTTTCGAACAGATTGTATTTTGTTACCCTGTAGTTAGAAAACCTGTTTTGATTTTAATACAAACCGTGAAGCTATAAAAAATGAATCATTGAATGTTCTTACACTTCTAACATATAAACAGACATACACTTCAAGTGGTTAGAGACAAGGATGAGGAAATCTTACTTGGTGTTAATCACGACCGATAATAATGAATTAACGAGTTATACTTAAATAGTATAATGGTGAGTAGATCCTGGCAACAAGCTTCTACATGCAATTCTAGTTCTAGAAAGACGTTTTAACTAGTGGAGTTCAGCCACGTCAGGTGCAAGACAGTTATCCATTGCAGACAATAGGAGATGGTCGCACAATGCTACAAATCAATTGAAGTTAAACATATACAACATTAAATTTTGGATTAGGTTATGTTTGTCTCAGTAATTAATCAACTGAAACATACACACATACATACATTGGTAACATGAAAGTAAACTTACAAGAAACATTGTAACTAATATTAATATTAAGAATATCACATGTTTATGGTGTGGAGGTTTATTGTTTCCCTGGGCATGAACATTATCCAACTCAAGTCCTAAAGAAATTTGTTGAGTTATTGGATGCGTAGCTGATGTTGACGATATCATGGAAGGTTGATCTGTTCCACAATATCGTGCAAGAATTCTAGACAGATAATGAATAAACAAAAAGAGAAAAAATGATAATAATTCAAACTCATCAATTTACTACATGCAGTACCTTTCAAGTTTATCCATAGAAAAGAATTGGAAATAAACAGAAATGTCAAATAATGTTAAATGGGGGGGGGCTGTAGAGATTGTAGTAATTCAATTGTGGACAGCAAAGTCAACTTTGAAAAGGTCTTCATAACGCCTGAACCAAGTATCAAATGTAATATTGGCATCAGGATCATAAAGAAATTCTGAAATAGTACTGATAATACCATCAACTGACTGAGGGATTGTCGGTGTAATTGGGACTCGAGAATATATGTGCGCCTGAGTAATCATCCCCATCAGCTTCAGCTGTTGTTCGAACAATTATTCTAATTTGGCTGGATCCATAGTTAGTCACAAACTTGTTTGCTAAATCTCCGTCGCCAAATTATTGTGGATCGCGAGGTGGCTACTCTAATTTCTACCGACTGACCAACTTCAGGTATCCCAGTACGACCCCAATACTGTTCCCCAATCTCCAATATATCAGAAGACGAACCGTAGATGAAAATTGTTTATGGGGTCAGGAGAAGAATAAGAATGCATATTTATACAGTTAGAACTACCGTGAATACTGACCAACGGGAAAATGACACGTGAAATAAATATTGACCAGTAGGGAAACGACACGTGAATAAATATTGACCAATAGAAAAATGACACCATTTCATGTTTAAGGATAGCATTAGACGCAACAGGATATTTTTAAAGATATTTTTTTGAATATCCCAACACATGAAAAATCTGGAAGCACTGGATGGTCGTTTCTTCATAGTATAGGACTCCGTCCAATGCTTCCAGATTTTCCATGGTGGTCTAACTTAAATCGACTCATGAATCCAACTATTAAATAATGTTGAATTTCATTTTTTTCTTCCTAAAAAGAAAATATTCTCTAAAACAAACAACAATAGGAAGCCAATTAGAAATATGAATTTATTTGATCGGTATAATTGTATTCTACTTCCTGTAACATATTCATCACATTCTTTTCAAATACAAACATGTATACAATGATTTTCATTGCTTGTCGTCAACTCCCAAGTTTTCTAGCATTATATTGAAAACTATGCTGATTTGAATTGATATGGTTGTTGTTTTTTTCTTCTTTATTACGTAATTCATAGAGTGAATGAGTTGATGTTTAGTTCTTATCTCTTAAGTAGTAGTAATTTTATACAACCACTGAAAAAAAAACAACTTCAAGTAATACAAACATCTCTTTATCTGTAGTTAGGAATGTTATAACCCGGTGAAGATTAAATTACAGGTAACTCCCGAGGGCTACTAACGGACTAATATTCTGTAAATATTCTTATTGTAAAACTATTGAATAATTAGATTATGTATATTTATATTCCTCTTATTACAACCTTTATTTTGACCTGTAATTTATTATTGTACGATTTACGGTTCTTAATCTATGCTCAGTCTATTATTCACTGTCCCCCTCGTGCACAGCCACTTTTTGGCTTATTTGTGTACACATGTTATTTTCTATTTTATGGTGCGTTGTGGTCTGTCTGATTGATATATAAACCGAGTATGTTTGAAATAAACGATCTGCTCTGATTCGAAGCTGGTATTGTGTTCTGGACTCAAGTGGAAGGGCTCGGAGGACATAGGACCAGTAAGGACGCTAGACTGCCCACATCGGTTGAACGTCATTGGTTGGCCTAGTGTGAAGATTCGTATAAGTCGTATTCGGATTGGTAGATAAGTCGCGTGATAGAAAAGTCAGACATCCAAGGTCATAACAAGGAAAACCTGTTTTAAATAATAAACTCTAGTGTTTATTAAGTTAAATAATCGTAGGCATCATGAATGAAAAATCTTACGTTACCATAGATTGACTCTATTGAGGTCAACAGATTTATTTTTTTATTAGTTAGTTCTTGAGTTAGATTCCGTGTAGTGAGTGGATTATAAAATACGTTGACCAGGTGATCAATAGTTTAATGTATCCATCAAATTGAACTAGTATAACGAACTACGTTTTAACAAATTTTCTAGATACAATTGGTTGGGTGTATATGTAAGTCTATTTAGGGATACTCATTAGTCATAATTCTCGAATGGCGATGAGAAATATGTACGATGATGTTTCTCCTACAGCACTACATAGGTCAATAGTTTCGATTAATGTTGTACATAACAAATGTTACCAATTTGTAAGTTTTCTTTTACTTTACTAACTAAGAGCATAAAAAATATCAGTGTTATTTACATTAGTATTGGAAATAGTAGTTACTAGGTGAAGAAGAAGAAGCTGTACCTCACTTCTGGGACTTTTGATTTTATGTTTGTCTAGTCCTCTGGCACCATTCAAATTTTTTTCAGTCTACGTGGCTCAACATTGAGTGCACCATGTCGAGGTGTTAGACAGACGAAGATAGTCAACAGCAAGTCCTGGACATCGGTTTCATGTTAGTTGGAACTATACAAACATGACACTTTACGAGTCAGTGATCAACCAATTTACGTATCTCGCCTAGAGTTACTAGAAGAGCTTAGGAAACCGAATCAAGCGTTCAGTAAGAATATTTAGAAGTCAGTCATCGCCTAAATAGTTCACTGGTAACGTCTCAAACTAAGAAACTAGGCAGGATGTTTAGAACTCTGAACCGAGCATCAGTTTCTTTATTACTTCAGGTATACCTTCCTGATGGGTATCGACTAATATCAAACTTGGGTTCAAGGTTTCCTGTTAACTATCTTTAAACATCTAACACATTGTCATGTGCATGCTAGTATGTAAATCACCACATATTACGGTGAATTTCATTTGATGTTGAAAGTAAACAAGAGATCGCTGAATTCAGATTTTTTGAAATCACTAATCAAAGTGTATCTGTGATCTTGAGACGATAAATTTTTTATAAGTAAACATTTACTAAAACTTGCACAAAATTCGAACACTGTATATAAGACATGAAACAAAAAAAACTCAACGATTGGAATTAGTTGCTAGTTCCAATGTTTCATAGGGAGGTCTGATTTGATCTTACTTGAAGAGAATATTATAGAAATTATCAAAGATATATAATATGATAGGGAAAAACATTATTTTCGATTATACAATAGTCTAATTATGTCCAGATATAAATGCTTTTTTTATTTTACGAATGCTAATTGATATAAAATGTGCTTAATTTGGGACTTCTGTAGAGATTCATATAATTTATAGGTGATATATGTCACAAACTGATCTCAGTTGGGGTGCCGCTGAAAATCAAGAGGCATTGCACAACTGTTTCATTCTAGTATGGGACTCCTTAGCAATATACCCCGAAGACCCCACTAAAGATCAAGTTCAGGATTTCAGGTCGTGGTATCAGTACTAACCATTTGATCACTGAATTGGCATTCAATGGTATGCTTTTCAAACTTTAATGAATTTGCGATATATCATGATGATTATCCAGGTGGTTTACCCACTACAACTTCAAAAAATTCATCTCAAAGTAAATCATTAGAGAGCTCAGAACTATAGTTTTTTATAATTTGTGGCCGACTGAGCTCTGTTAATGTATAACGTAACGATAGCGCCAATTAGAGAGCAGTGAATTATCGATCGAACCAGTGACGCATAAAACACATACGAGCAGTCTACAGTCCTTATTGGTCCTGCTTTCCGCCTAGCCCAGCCAGTTAAGTCCAGAAGACAAATCTCAGTCTCTGCGACATGAATCATTTATTTCAAACATACTCGGTTTATATACCAATAAGATAGACCACGTCGTACCAATAAAATATGAAACAACATTTGTACAAGAATTAGCCAAATATGGCTGTGAATGAGGGAGGTAGTAATTAATAGACAGGCCATAACTCAAGAATGGTAAATCGTATAGTAATAGTCTATGGGTCAAATTAAAACTTATAATAAGAGAGACATGAATATGAATAGTCTAGTAACTTAATAATTTGACAATAAAAATATACGCATAGTATTGGTTCATAAACGGATCCCAAAAGTTATCATTCATTATTCTCATCGGGACATAACATTTTTAATTTGGGATTTTTGTGAAGGTTTATCTAATTTACACGTGGTATTCATGGTAGATTTACTTAAATGTGTCTAAATTACAGTATGTGATGTTGCAAAGGTCATTTCTATATGAAACAACAGTGATCATTTGATTTATGATCAAAGTCAAGTTAATCCATTTGTCTACTATAAAATTGAAGTTTGGTAGAAATAAAGATGAACTGTCTCGAAAAACATACGTAAATAAGTAAATACTTATCAGTGTTTAGTGTATTGTGTTAGTGAAAGATTGTGAAAAATTTCTCTAATTATGATAAATAAATTCACGTGGCTGTTTTTAACGATGACAATTTTAGTGTTTAATGTAGAATTATGAAAGTTCATTATTATAATGATGTTTTATTCTAGTCAATAATCAATAACTGAACAAAGTATAATTATTTACACTGGGTCCCATCAATTCAACTTAATTTATATATATATCTCAATGGTTAAGATCATGATCTTAACCATTGAAATTACTACAATCTCCACAAAACCCATCTGATATTAACCAACATATGTTCACTAGTGACTGGATTCACGAGGTATATCCTGGAGTTCTAGTGAGAAGTAGTGACCAGTGGAGTTCAACCAGGTTTGTTGTGAGATAGTAACTCACTGAAGACAATGGTGGATGTGTCGCTCAATTTCGTGGATTATTTGAAGTTAGATATTAACACCGTTGGATGCCAGCTCAGTGGCCTACTGGTTATATATATATTCATATTAACTCCGCCTGGAGTCCCTCTGGGGGCTACTGCCGGTCCCAAGCCCGGATAAAGGAGGAGGGTTGAGCATGGGGTTAGCGTCCCCATCCCGTAGAAAACTAATTCGCTAAAAAACACTAAAACGCTATATTCGTATTCCTTTTATTATGAACTTCAATTTAACTTATTGACTACTTTATTTTACGACTTACGGTTCTTAAGTTATTACTAATTTATTAGTTGCAGTCTCTGACAATCATAGACACTTTTGGCTTGATTAAGTATAATTTTTATTTCCTATTTTGTGGTTTGATGCCGTCTGGTTTGTTTGTATATAAGCTACTTGTGTCTGAAATACATGATTCATACAATGGAAGCTGATATTGATGTTCTGGATTTAACAGATATGGCTAGATGAAAAAGACCAATAAGGACTACAGGCTGCTCGTACGGGTCAACGCCTCATTGGTTTAGCACAGCACTAAGATTGTATAAGTCGTGTTAGTTAACACACCACAAGTCATAACACAAACCATTGGTGCAGATGGGCTCCATGATCATGAGAAAACAATTGGCGTATGAATTTACTGTTGGTCACCGGCTACCATGAGACTCCATTTCCTAACGTTGCTCTATTGCCTTGTGGTTCAGATGTCTAGGTCAAAGACCCAATGACCGGTTCCTAAGAAAACCACCTGCTTCAGTTTGGTCGCCCGGTCAATATCCCAGCCCTAACACAACTTCTGTGTTGCCTATATATATTTCGGTGTACTTTTGTACCAATGTTTTTGTGTTTAAATAAGTAATCTGATTACACAACTGGATTTGTCTAAAAAATATGTGCGAAATTCAGACGGGGAGCTATAAAAATTGGAGTTAGACTGAACTTAGTAAACGACACATTTTAGGATAGAAAAGACGACATAAAAAATGAAAAAGATAGGAAACTTTCTCTACACATTTCATTAAATCAGGAAGTATTTTGCAATACAACTTACTTGGCACATTCTTTTCGTTGTTTCTTATCACATTGATTACAGAATTTCGCAGAATCACATGACTGTGGAATTTGTGGATTTCTACAACTTAGTAACTCGGAATCATCACTGTTTCTAGTGATTCGATAACTGTCTGTAATGATTGAATTACTCGGAGAAGTTTGTTGAGACTGTTGTGTTTGATTGGTATCATTTTTGTCAAAATCGTTAAAATTTCGACAAAGTTGTGAACGAAATATTCCTTCTGCTACCTATAAAAAATGTGAACTAATGAAAACTGACTACAACTGACGAAAATGATCGAGCTTGTTCATAGAATTATAATGAATTGAAAGCTCTACTAACGGATGCGGATAGCTGAAAATACACTGATTGGCCATTGGATGGTTATCAATGCCATGATTGATTAGTCCTGTAATATTGTTGAATTCTATTGATAAAGTTACAATGTTAACACTAAATTAGGTGACCGAAGATTGTGGTGCACTTTATTTCATGTTAACTGGTTGTTAGACGTCACGCGAAGAAGCCCTACTTGGCTTATATTCTGGACTAGTCAGCTCTCGTCAGTAAGGTGCACTTAAAATATTAAGTGAACCGATGCTTTGTATGTAATCCAAACCCACATCGCTCAATGTCATAGTCAAAGGTGTTACTGTAATGAACGGAGATTTAGTGAGAGTAAACCAATTTATTGTATTAAGCAATATCACATTGTGTTTGTAAAATATGAAAACATTACATTGGATACACCATTTACACATCTTCCTTGAATTATCGCTTACACGTTCCATCATTCTTTTATTCCTGTTGCTAGTCGAACTTTTTCTGCTTTCATTTCTTTTCCCCTCATGTTCCGCTTGTCAGTAAGAATCCTACTTCCAATTCTCGATATATACTACTTATATCTGTCTACACAAGTAGCGCACACCACATTACTGCTATGTCATTCAGGTCTAGATCAGGATATTTGCGCTAATCGCTGACTAGATGGATAAAAGTGTTAAGCGTTCAACATTATCAACAACAAAGAAAATGTTATATTTTCTAGTTAGAATCATCTTAATAACAGAATTCTCGTTTATTTAAAGGTTGAATTGAAACAGAAATTTATAAACAATATGATTGACTTTGATTATTAGATCGATTCGTTCTAGGGGATGGCAAGACGCGCTGCATATAGTATAATTCACTGATCAAATTACAGATGTAATTATTGAGAGGATTATTTTGATATTCTAAACCAATACTATGAAGGAGTGAATATATTAAACTATTGTCTTTTTTCAAACCTGACATGAACATCATTATTTAAGGAAAAATGTGGAACACAAATTGTTGTCATAAAGTTCCTATTGATGTAGAATCAGTCTACCAGTCAGTTGTTTATGGACGATCTAAGACCTGGCATGACTATAGATTAGTACAAGTAGTCAAATCATATATATATATATATATATATATATATATATATATATATATATATATATATATATATATATATATATATATATAATTTAAAAAGGAATTTAACAGAGGGATAAGTAGCGTGAAATTACATAATAACTCGAGAATGAGTAAATTTACATAGATGAGACCGGTTCTGAACTATGTTGCTGTCTGTAGTCTGCAAACACTGATCACATGTGTCCCAAACAAGAACATTTTCACCTTCCAATACAATTCAAACTAACAATCAATGACATCATGCCTCGTTTAGTCGCTCTCAATTATTTATCAATCTACGTCTATAACAACCAACAATTTGTGCCAAGGGAGTCGGCGTTTGTGGTATAAGTTGTTAAACATGCCCCATCCGCCTCGAATTACGGAAATTCATCGTCTCATCAATCGATTTTCAAACTTTACCTAGTACCATATGGTTTACTCTAGCAATACTCACTTGTTGGTTTCATCAACATGCATGAGTTATGTGTCGGAGATATTTAAAATCAAACACTAGTCACCTTTATGTATGTCCTCCACTTTCAAAGGTAATGAAGTTTCATAACCATGAAGTAGAAGATAGTAAATAAACACTGATAAAAATGTTCGTAGTAAGTAGAAAAATACAAGTGAGAGAACGCCAAACAACAAAGTCACTAATACCAAGTCGAATTCTACACGGAGCACCAGTTTCTTCAAGACTGTATGGTACATCTTCCTGAAAACGGCCAACTATCATGACCCCTAGGTAAAACTGTCTCTAATCACCTAGTATTGGTGACAATAATAATAATAATAATAATAATAATAATAATAATAATAATAATAATATATACGATAACTTACATCTGGTGATGCTTTAATCTCATAACAATCTTGCACAGGAACATCGATTCGTATAAAACTGATTAAACAGGCTAAAGTACCAGATGCATTAACTATCAAAACTACGATTGATATAATCAGCTGATTTTTTATTCAAACAAGAAAACAAAACACAGTGTTAAGATCTCAATTTCAATGGTAATTGAAAAAAGAGAATAAAAAATTGCAAACATGATCTCATAAACGATGCCATTCGTTTTTACCACAGATTTATGTGTGAGTTACAAGACTACTGAAATGACTGTTTAGCATTAGTTTACAACGAATAAATAATGCTAATGCGCGTTATGTGTCATGAATTGACCGAGGTTACTAGGTGTAAGCTATAGTGATTAAGACATAGAATGATCGAGACGTATTACAATGGCCATTAAAAGATTCGAAAATTCATCCTGACACAAAATCCTCGAAATTTATCTTTTAATGATACAGTCCTCATTATCTAACATTAGCTATCAATGTTTTAAAATATTAAAATCTCGATCCGATTATTATATCACTTAAGTTGGAAAAGTAAATCGAGAGTATGAAATTACATCAGGTCAATTTAAATGTTTGATTTTTATCTGCGGATTAAAGAATCCAGAAGTTGTTGATGTCCGCACCATAATTTTAATGAGCATTGAGCAGGAACGTAACATGACTTTACAAATGGTCACAGTCGAACGTTAATGTTTGTTACATCTCAAACATGATACCGCAATGGTGCAACTTTCAGATTTCAAATTAGTGAATCCAATCCAATCCTCAAAGCCTTCTAAACAAAACACAGCAAGCGCACAACAACCTGCTGGCAAATCATCACCATGTTGGTTTTGTTGAGTATAGGATTTTGTCAAATTGTGACCGTTTAGAAATTACAAGTGCCGCAATTTTCATCGCATTGGTCATAAAGAAGGTCAATGTTCATCAAAATAAACGCTAGTCAAAATGTCGTAGCGTAAATGTGAAGCGACGTTCACAGAGTCCAATCAAGAGTACGTTTGAGTTTTAAAGTTGAATTTCAAAGTAAACGGAAGTATGTAAGTTTATTAGTGAGTGGAAAACCTAGTTGTCTTCAGTTAGATACGATTCCCGATATTACATTGATTTCCGAAAAATATGTGCTGTAAGCTAAGGTATCCATGCATTCAACCAATCGAACATGTTTCCCGAAATGCCTCAGGAGATATAGTGAAGCTAGCAGAAGTCAAATGCGTGGTGCAATTCATAAAACACAAATCCGATGGCGTTTGACATCGAATAATCGACAGGATTTGGATTTATTAGGGTTAGAGTAGATCGAAAAGATTGATCATTTGAATAGCTTATTAAATGAAATATATTCTCACAAGCCTTTCTTCGAACTTATTCAAAAATCTCATAATGATTTCAAGTCAATAAGCATTAATTAGCATGAAAATCAGATTTAGGAGCCCCTACTAATTTTTTCCAACTGTCTATCATCGTAATCGATACTTAACTAGCTATTACTATGAACGAATTAGAGAAACAATTATCGAAAAACATTCCACTTACTTGATTAGTACCACATTGAAAAATCGGATCGATATCTTTCACCATATGACCAAATGATGTTAACAGTAGTAGGCCAGTGACAACTGCAGGTGTTCTACAAATCAAGATTAACCAATACAATAATCTTCACACATCGAATAACTGTAAATTCGAGAGTAAGCGCAAAATAAGTTTATGACCAAATCGTAACAGCATGAAATTAGATGCATAGAAATTGGATCAAGATATATGACTGAGGTCTTCAATAATCAGTAACTAATCAAACTGAATTTTTAACGTATACTGTAAGATAGATAGAATTTATACTCAGAACACAAGAAAGCAGAAGGCAAGCAAATAATGATTGAAAAGATAGAAGTTATTCAAATGATTCGATATAAATGAGACTATGAAAATGCAAAAGACATATATAGAAATAGTAATTTGGTATATATATATATATATATATATATATATATATATATATATATATATATATTAATTGAGGTAAGACATCATTCAAAAAAGACAATCCTTCAACTAAAGATCTATATGTAACGATTGAGTATTCGACTTACATTTATAGAATACAAACACTCATGTTTCATTTCAACAAGATCGATAGAATTTGATTAATACGGATATTCATCAATATAAGAACGAATAGTTTGACAAAAATTGGTCGCCAAGAATAGGGAATTCATTATATATGTGACAACTATATTTGAAATAAACTCAGTGATTGAAATCTAGAATAATTCCAAGATTTCGTCCAAAAAACTTGTCTAGACTTCTTCAGGGTAATAATCAAAATCATCAAATATCCAGCGCTTAACAATCAAATCAAATCTATACTGTGCTAAGTCAATCATGTTTGGATGTTGATCTCAGTAAGCAAAATAACATAAGTCACGTGGAAAGTTCACGATGTGAAAATAAATGACCTAGCAAGTTGAGTGTGTATGTATGTTTAAGATTGAGTTATTAATAGTTGAGATTACGTGTTAATATGTTTTTATATGAAGGAAAATAACAAAATAAAAGTGCAAGGTGAAGGTTGAAAATTTGTTTCTGAATCATTGATGTGCATGTAAAATGAAAATCATCAGATATCGATAGCTTTAATCGACTAATGAATTCAACTATTAAATTGCTAAAACCTTCACAAAAACCCCTTCTGATAAAACACATAATCGTATTGCTAAAATAACCAACATTAAATTCAGTCAGAATAACGGTGCGTGTGAAATAAACAGGTTGCATAAAGAATGTGTCCAATTACTTGTTTACGAACATTTGCCAAGTAGTCGCTAGTTGAACACAATCCTTTCGGTTCAAACTGTTCTTATTCGCCCATATATACAGTACTTCTGCTGTCAATCTTTCTTTATGGGTGTTAAAACCTTTCTGAAGTGTTTTGGTCCCTTTAAAATTAACTCCGCCTGGAGTCCCTTCGGGGGCTACTGCCGGTCCCAAGCCCGGATAAAGGAGGAGTGTTGGGCATGGGGTTAGCGTCCCCATCCCGTAGAAAACTAACTCGCTAAAAAAACGCTAACCAGAAAAAATTATTCAAACCTTTTAAACTCTGCCCTGGGAGTCAGAAGGTCTTCATTTAGAAGAACTATGATGCCTCATGATGAAAGCCGAATTCCTTCGGAAGTTACGAGGCCCATGCCCTTCTGACAACCAGAGCAACCATTTATTTAGGTACATGGAATGTTCGTACAATGTGTGACACCTGGAGAGCCTTCCAAATTGCTGCAGAAATGAGAAGATACAACCTAGAGGTACTTGGGATCAGTGAAACACATTGGACGCAAGTTGGACAACAACGACTAGCTTCAGGAGAACTTCTGTTATACTTCGGCCATGGAGAAGAAAATGCTCCACATACACAAGGAGTTGCATTGATGCTGTCCAAACAAGCACAACATGCACTTATATGATGGGAATCTCATGGACCAAGGATCATCAACGCCTCCTTCAAAACAAAGAAAGAGGGCATTACAAAGAACGTCATCCAATGCTATGCGCCTACCAACGACTACAATGAAGACGCTAAAGATCAATTCTACAATAGGCTGTAGTCAGTCGTTGAGAAGTGTCCAACAAAGGACCTGACCATTCTGATGGGAGACCTAAATGCCAAGGCTGGAATGGACAACACCGGATATGAAGATGTCATGGGATGACGTGGACTAGGAGAAAGAAACAGAAATGGTGAGAGATTTACAAACCTATGTGCCTTCATTAAATTGGTCAGAGATGACACTATATTCCCACATAAACGTATACACAAAACCACATGGACTTCACCGGATCACACTACACAGAACGAAGTCGACTATATATGCATCAACAAAAAGTTCAGGAGGACGATGGAGGATGTGAGAACCAAGAGAGGAGCTGATATAGCATCAGATCATCACTTGCTGGTCGCCAAGATGAAATTGAAACTCAAGAAGCACTGGACAATGGGGCGAACAACATCACAAAAGCTTAATACGGCCTTTCTTCGGGATACTAACAAACTCAACAAATTCAAGATAGTTCTCAGCAATAAGCTCCAGGCCTTTCATGATCTACTTAATGGAGAAGGAACTACTGTGGAGAGCAACTGGAAGGGGATCAAAGAGGCAATCACTTCAACATGTCATGAGATCCTGGGTCACAAGAAGCAACGTCACAAGGAATGGATCACTGTTGATACACTGGATGAGATTCAAGAAAGAAGGAACAAGAAGGCAGCAATCAATACCAGCCGACCAAGAGCAGAAGAAGCCAAGGCACAAGCTGAATACACAGAAGTAAACAAACAAGTGAAGAGGAGCATAAGGACCGACAAACGTAAATATGTGGAAGATTTAGCAACGACGGCGGAAAAGCTGCAAGAGAAGGAAACATGAGACAACTGTATGACATAACAAAGAAACTCTCTGGAAACCGCCGCAAACCAGAACGACCAATGAAAAGTAAGGAAGGTGAGGTAATCACCAACATTGAAGAGCAACGAAACAGGTGGGTAGAACACTTCAAAGAACTCTTCAATCTATCAGCATCACTGAACCCACCCAACATTGAAACAGCACCTACGGACCTACCAATCGACGTTGGCCCACCAAAAACTGACGAGATCAGCACAATCATCAGACAAATTAAAAGCAGTGAAGCAGCAGGACCAGACAACATTCCAGCGGAAGCACTGAGAGCAGACGTAGTAGTAACTGTGAAGATACTCCACATTCTCTTCAGCAAAATTTGGGATGAAGGACAAGTACCAACGGACTGGAAAGAAGGAAACCTGATCAATATATCAAAGAAAGGCGATCTCAGAAAGTGTGGTAACTACGGAGGCATCAATCTTCTCTCAATACGAGAAAAAAATCCTCAACAGGGCGTTGTTAAACAAAGTGAAGGACTCCGTAGACGCCCAACTTCCTGACCAAGAGGATGGATTCCGTAAGGATAGATCGTGTACAGACCAAATCGCAACACTACGGACCATTATGGAACAATCAACTGAACAGAATTCATCACTCGACATCAACTTCATTGACTATGAAAAAGCATTTGATAGCGTGGACAGAACAACACTATGGAAACTTCTTCGACACTACGGCGTGCCTCAGAAGATAGTCAATATCATACAGAATTCCTATGATGGATTACACTGCAAAATTGTGCATGGAGGACAGTTGACAAACTCGTTCGAGGTAAAGACCGGTGTCAGGCAAGGTTGCTTACTCTCACCCTTTCTCTTCCTCCTGGTGATCGACTGGATCATGAAGACGTCAACATCTGAAGGGAAGCACGGGATACAATGGACATCTAGGATGCAGTTGGACGATCTAGACTTCGCAGATGATCTGGCCCTTCTATCCCAAACGCAACAACAGATGCAGGAGAAGACGACCAGTGTGGCAGCAGCCTCAGCAGCAGTAGGTCTCAATATACACAAAGGGAAAAGCAAGATTCTCCGATACAACACAGCATGCACCAATCCAACCAAAATTGACGGAGACAACTTGGAAGATGTAAAAACCTTTACATATTTGGGCAGCATCATTGACGAACATGGTGGATCTGATGCAGATGTGAAGGCGCGGATCGACAAAGCAAGAGCAGCATATTTACAACTGAGGAACATCTCGAACTCAAAGCAACTGTCAACCAACACCAAAGTCAGCATTTTCAATACAAATGTCAAGACAGTTCTACTGTATGGGATGGAAACTTGGAGAACTACGAAAGTCATCCAGAAAATACAGGTGTTTATTAACAGTTGTCTACGCAAAATACTTCGGATCCGTTGGCCGGACACTGTTAGCAACAACCTATTGTGGGAGAGAACAAACCAGATCCCAGCGGAGGAAGGAATTAGGAAGAAGCGATGGAAGTGGATAGGACACACATTGAGGAAAGCATCCAACTGTGTCACAAGACAAGCCCTCACATGGAATCCTCAAGGCCAAAGGAAAAGAGGAAGACCAAAGAACACATTACGCCGAGAAATGGAAATATACATGAGAAAAATGAACAAGAATTGGATGGAACTAGAAAAGAAGGCCCAGGACAGAGTGGGTTGGAGAATGCTGGTCGGCGGCCTATGCTCCATTGGGAGTAACAGGCGTAAGTAAGTAAGTAAAATTAATCTTGGGTCCTGTTCCCAACGCATGTAACGCTATCGCCGACTTATTCTCAAGTTTCTTTAAATCAACCGAGGATTTGAGGACATTTTTCAACATTGTTTGTCTTCCTTCAACTTCACCTTCAGTTGTCTAGAAGTTCCTCCCACATAAGCTTCATTACAATCATGGCAGCTGATCTCATAAACAATATTCTGTCGTTCTTCCTCTGAGAACCTATCCTTAACTTTCACTAATGCTGATCTTATGGTGTCACAATTCCGAAGATAACTCTTATATCATGCTTGTTTAGAATCCTCTTGATTTCCTGCGATGTTTCACTAGGGTGTGGGATGACCACGGTAGACTTCTAATCTTTCGATATACATTCTAGTTTAGTTTTTCTTTCATTTCTAATAATCCTTTTTAAAAATTCTTTGGGTGTAGTTGTTATCCCTAAGTGTAGACAAAACTCTATTCAATTCAACCTGGTGGTAATGCTTCGTTTGGATTACACAAAGAGTATTATTCTCCTTCGAGATTGAAGATATACTGTGCTGTCAGGTATGTCAAACATTAGAACGATGCTCGTTGTTACGTGCTTACAAAGTCATCTCACAGCTAAGAATGTAGCATTCTAATCTTGATCCACTTTTAAGTATGATTCTCAAAAGACGCGATCAGACAAAATGAACATTACTTTTCAGTCAAAATTTCCAACCAATTACTGTTTCATTTAATGAATAACTAGTTAACTATAAGTAGGTAAATTCATAGACAACTTCAATACAATTTATACAAAGATGAATTTCATCTAAGAAATTAGATCGATTGGATAATATGTACCTTTATCTTTAAGAAGAAACATGCAAAGTTGAACACTATGCATTCAACGAAACAAGAACTGACCAGATGAGAATCAAATTTAAAGAACTTAGTGACTTTATGTTACTAACCAGGAAGAATTGCATGACCGTTTCATTAGGAATAAAGGATTCCTCAACAGTAGTTTCCATTCAAAACTACTCTACCACACATAGAACCGAAGATTACTGACTCATTATTTTTAGATTGTTGAAATAGAATCATTTAACGATTTACATTGTCCGATTATTTCCTCTGTTTGTAACGTAGCTTCACTGTTGTTCACAATATCGCTGAACTTCACATCATCATTTTCACAGTATTATCATATATTCTAATCAATATCGACCTATTTTATAGATGACTTCAAAGGAGTAATTGTAAATAAGGGAATCACAAGTAAAAAATGTTTGTCAACATAAGTAGTATATAACAGCAATCAGAAGTGGAATGCCTGGCAGCAGAATGTTTGAAAGATAGAATAGAATAGAACGCAAATAGATAGTAATTGTTGTGCTAATTCATGGAATATTTGCTAATGTATAGTTTTTATATTCTATCAAGAAACTGTTATTTCTCACCAAAATACAATGGTTGTCTCCACCTATATGTTCTTGTACATTATAACAACATTGAAATGTAGAATACTAAACAATCGATAAGGCTATCAACCATCATGGAAATCATAGTCTATTCTGTGTTATATTGACTACTACAAGAGTAGATTGTAATGATAGTGATTATAAAAACAGATAGATCAAGACAATATGGCATCAATTTATCAAGAAGTTCCATTATTCTAATAAAATCGATGATTATATCAGTATTAAATAGAAAAATCTAAACATTGTGTTATATAGGTATTTGATTAGTTGTAAAGAACATTCAATAAATAAGTTTCATTCATTAATGATGATGAATTTGTTTATATGAGAAAAACAAAACAAAAAAATATTCACTTCATAATCGATCGATATTAAGGATTGATTCATTGTGCTCTAATCGATTATTATAGTTCATATTGGTTTGTTAAGAATAATTATTTTCAATTAATGATAACAGTTAAAGAAACACTATTGATAAAACTACTGAATAGTTAATTTAGTAGATAATAAATGCAGGGTTTTAAGCTATATATATGGGAGGGTTGGGGGATACTGCACGGGTGCGCCAGGTCACACCTCGAGCATTTGACCTAAAGGTCTAATCCAAAAAGCAGTGGGACAACGTCAGCAGATGCAGTCCCATGGTAGCCGGTGAGCAACAATAGGTTTACATACCATTTGTTTTCTTAGGATCCTGGAGTCCATGTACACCATTGCATCGGTTTGGAATCAGGATTCTCCATATTCATACATTTATTATGTGAGGCTATTTTTATTTATTTAAACACTGAATTGGATTTCTGGAATGAACATCAATTTTAGGATGCAAGTATATCCAGTTAAAGGCGAGTTCGAAATAGGACGAAACGTGCATCTTAGATTCCACTACTAGCTGACACATTCCTTCTATTCTATATCACATTCAACAAGTATTATATTATTCTATAAGATTACTGATTGTCAACTATACTCAGTTCTACATCTATTATCAACATAAAACCGACAATACTCAGGTTTTTCATAACGTATGAACTAGATATGATTCACTTACAACTTGAATTCAATTATGCTATATACTAATTAACTGACTAACTAACTAACTAATTTAATATAATCAGAGACGGGTTTTGTGGATACTATAGTAATTTAATAGTTGAATTCATGAGTTAATTGAATCTAGACCACCATGGAATACCTGAAAGCACTGGATGGCCGTTTCATGGGTACGCACTGCTGAAGAGTTCCATACTAGGATGAAACGGCCATCTAGTGCTTTCAGAGTTTCTCTAGTGGTTTAGCTTCAATTGACTGATGAATTCAACTATTAAATTAATTAATTATAAACTAATTTTCGCTAATTATTTATTATTATTAAAAATGATCATGATTTATAGTTGAGAAAATCATTTCATAATTTATATGTTTACACAAAAACTTCTAAGTTCACATTATTCATTGTTACAAATATCTCTGAATACACTGATATATTCCTTACAAAAAAGTGTTTTATTTAATTTAAGGTAAAACAGTATCATTCACATAGAGATTAGATAGAAAATAGTGTATTAAACAAAAAGTGATGTCTAGTAGTCGGGTAGTGGTATTTGTGAATAGGAGTATATAGGTGCAACACTGTGGGCTTAGACAACCAACCAACCAACCAATCAATCAATTATTCAATTGATCATGAAACACTTAGTTTAGATAGAAAGTGCAAATTTAATAAATTTACATGGTTCATTGAAAAAAAAGTGAATAGATCAGCGAATTATTTACACAATCTGTAGAAAAAAAAACATATGCAGACAGTTACGCCAGTATTTAAAACGGATGGGTTTATGAAAAAAAGGGAAGAAAGAGAAATTAGACAAAATAAAGATCATTTCATACAATGTGAATTGAGAATGTAAACAAATCGGTAAAATCCTATATGACATAACAATCTATCTATGTAAGAATGCATTCAGATGTAGGTTAGTGAACTACTACTGAACTACTGACAATATCCATAGTTGGTCCAATAAAAAAAATTTAAAAAATTTCAATGGTTGAGATCATGAGTCAATTGAAGCTAGATCAAGATAGACAGCCTGGAAGCACTGGACGGCCGTTTCGTCCTATTGTGGGACTCTTCAGCAGTGCGCATCCACGATCTGTCGGAATAAGTGAAGAAACTCAACAGGAAATAAGATAAACCATAGTACCGCTAACTCCATGGAAAAAAGACAACACCCAACTAACTTCACAAGAACAAAAAGCCTTAAAGAAACTCAGAACTAGAGATGATATTGTCATAGTCCCAGAGGACAAAGGATGCACTACAGTGATTATGGACAAGGAAGATTATATCAGGAAAGCCGAAAATTGACTGTAATTCCGGATAAAAAGTCATTGGACCCTATTTAGGGTTCAATGAAAGTCTAATCTATAAAATGACTAGGTACAGTAACAATGAGAAAACATAAGTTTCGAAAATAAAAACTGGATGAAATAACGTGATTTTGGATTGGCGCTCGAAGATTTTGAAATCGATACTGTGTACACACTCATGGATGAATGGAAATGACCTCAGAAAACAATTATATGATAAAACAATCCATGTAGTGTTCTTTATGATTTTAAAATTATTCTAATTAATCTGATCGAATGTCATAGAAAGCAAAGATAAACAAACTTTGTTCATCCCAGCTTTCACTATACACGTACAGAAATCTTGATTTCTTAATATTCGGATTATTAAAATCAAGGTATATTTGATAATGACCACACGAACTATTAACCAAAACAAAATTAAAAGAAAAGAAACTTACAAGAAGCCAGCTAAGTAAATATGCAATTGATATCGTAATACAAAGCATAGACTACGTGCACGTTCCATAACAAGAACTAATGCGATTAATGTGGTCCAACAACGTGTACCCGTAGAACCAAAAAAGAATATTGCAAAATGCAAGTAATTTAACCAACGTATTGGTTGACTCAATTTTCCACCTAATTTTAAGTAAAACAATGAGGAAATTACAGAAAAACTCAATAAATAGGAAGATGGTAGAGAATAATCAATTTGTAATATACAAATAATGCATAAAAAGGGTATAGTCAAGAATATATATTACAACAAATATTTTAAGGCATGTGAATCGTTTTATGTAAGACTACAATAGTCAATGCATTAATAAAATTCATCTATGACATACGAAATCTCACGTATTCACCTTTAAATGAGGGCTACCGATGTTAGACGGCCATCCAAATCGAAATATGTAAAGTGAAGTTCCGACCTGAAACTTACTGTTTGGAAGTCTGATGCTTGACTCAATAAGTCACAGTGATTGATATGAGCTAATATATTCCTTAGTTTTCAATCATTTAAGAAATTGATCAAGAAATCTAACAATGTTTGTCAAAACGCAACCGACCAACATTCATAGATGAAAGTAAAGCCATACCTAATCTTGACTTGGCCACAATGAACTTTGTTCCGTTCAGTGATGATTCAGAGTATTACTCTACAACATGCTTCCCATCAAGGATCTTGGTGAAAAATTCACTGAAAACCAGAAAGCATCAGGAGAATGTTTCGTTCCGCTATGGCACTCCTCAGAAGTACGCACAGGACTTTCAGATCTGAAAGTGAGTATTTGAATTCTGCAGTGAGCCAGAATTCTGTGAGCACAGCCCACAGGAGAACTTAAGGTAGCTCAGAAAGAGCCAAATACATTCCATCCAATCAACTTTTGGAAGAACACTCCAGAAACTAGACGTGTAGCTTCTCTATTGGATAGAAGCTAAAAACCACTGTGTGCGGGCTGGATGATTATAATGATGATTTCACTTTTACTAAAAAATATAAATACCTGAGAGTTCTGCACCATATTTGACACTGGTGGAATAACGCTACTTCTCATTCATCTCATTTGAGACTTGGAGGGTTCTAGCGTTCGAGTGCCCAAGTAGTACGCGGTATAGCAAGAACCTAAGCTTTATATGTAACACATACTGTAGTGAACAAGACACGGGTGGGGACAATCGAATGTATTTAACACAAAATTACAGGACTTGTTAATAAAATCTAACAATCATAAAGTAAATGTTTAATTTGCAAAATGTTTACCAATTGTCTCAAAATGACTCAGACTTCATTGTTCTTGCATTTTCATACAAATTGAATTCTGTTTCCATTCTTTACTGTTCGATCCTCTTGTCTCTCTACTGCCAGACCTGTTCACGACTAACATCACATACTACTTATGTCAATATAAGTAGCACACACCACAATACAATGGTTTTCGATATATCCATAATACACCTGGACCAACTTAGTCCATTCAGGTTCACAACAATAACGAGACGAGCATATACTCATATTTTTTGACAAAACACAATTTACACTAGCTGGTCATATCATGTTTATCTAATCCCCAGAGGTGACTGAATTCTGCACAAACATGAAATTAAGAGACTACTTCGCAACTAAGTGCTGCAAATATCTCAGTCTTATAGGTCGGTTAGGATATAAATAACTTCTTGATCACATCATGTCACTAAACGTGATACTGAGTAATGCTAGTTCAGTTCCTATGGGTAGCACAAGATCTTTCAAGATTCCAGGTATATCTATATGACAAGTGCCACCTGGATAAAACAGAGCTCCATTTCAACGAATGCCTACAACTAGCTTATAAGTTAGCCGATTACAAGTATGAGTATCACATGTTATATATTCTAGTCAATGTTCAATAAACAATAACACAATTTTCCAAAATTTAATAATTTGTATAACAAACCGTTTACACTTTCTTCAATACCATAATAATAATAATTTACGAAACGACCAAGTAATAATCCAGTACAAGTGAATAGCACACAAATTAAATGACATAATGTGAATCGATTAGGAACTCGAATAGCTTTTCGACTAACACAAAGTACACCCAATGTCCAAATCTATTAGTTTTAAAATGAACAGTCAAAGCAAGTTAGAGGTTTTTACTTTAAAAAACAAACAAATACAATAATTTAGTTTATACAAATAGATATAGAAAACGTTTAAACTCAAATTATTCCCACCGTTTTCAACCCTTAAGGTGTGTGTTGCTTCTGACAATTTCAGTCATTTTTTTGTTTATTTAGTGGGCTAGTGGCAGATATTGAAGTGCGATTTACCTTAAAGTATTCACTTTAACAGGATGAAGTTGTCTTTAACTGTCAGCTATAAAAATGTCAGTGTAGCACAATCAAACATGCTGGATGAAAAACATAAGTATGGTGAAAGTTAGGGCATAAAAAGGACTTATGCTGATGATTATACCCTAATATCCGGCACTCACCCATGTAAAAGTGGTTCCGGATACAACACGTATATTGAAGACTGAAAACGGAACGAATAACTTCAGTCGATTCATGAAGAACGCTGAGAGCAGTTCACCTAAGCCTACAAAATATGCTGAACAAACAATTTCCTAGGCTCTGAATTTCTCATTGGTAATATTTAGGTTGTGTATGACTGATTGACTATCATCCAACGTCTATTGAAATGGGTAATAATAAAATCACTGCACATTTCCTGAATGACATGTGGTCTTTTTCGTGAAGTAGATCGGTTTTTGCAAACAGTTGGCGTATATCTTAATATTGCAAATAAAAAATTTGGTAAAATACAATTTTGACAACATACAAACAAAACTGATTAGTAAACTTACACAGCATACAATACTAATCCAAGAAATATCTTCAACAGTTGTACCAAGTATACTTGCATAATCACTTGGTTCTGCGTTGTACAATGTAATAATACGTGCAAAAATAAACATAATTGGCACACATAGGAATGTTCCCAAGACAAGACCAATACCGATCTGTACGTGTATATCCCAACCATGCACATAATTAGATAGTGTGAAGTAAAAAAAATTAATGAATAATAACAGATGATTAGAGTGACCATGGACGAAAAAAGTTTATCACTTTTAACCAACGACAAAAAAGAGATAGGAACTTTAAAGTGTACACTCAATGGAAGTCATGTAATTTTAGGTATCAATCGTTAACAAATATACTATGGAGTCGGAAGTTTGTATGATTATGAGCTGAAAATTTACTTTACCCTATTTATTATTGACTTTTGTGATTTTGGACAACCACATCGTAACAGTGACTTGACGACTTGGAAGTAGCAAGTTTGTATTTCCAGGGATAATGTAAGTCTTTAAAATTGACAAGCTATAGTTATACATTTGGCCTTAATGTTACATCAAACAGCCATTCAGAAAACAAATATACGGTTAAGGCTTCAATCAAACCATGATATTACACAACAATCTTCCATTGTCTCTGGTGGTAACTACCTCACACTACACACGGATTGAGATTAGATAACAACATTGTTGGATGCTGGCTCAGCGGTCTAGAGTTCGCGCACGAGGTCGAATGTCATAGGTTTTGCCCCTCAATGCAGGACTGTGAATGGACACTACTGAGGTGTAAAGTACTAAGAAGAGGCGCCCGCTCAGTGCTTCCAGGTTTTCAGTGGTGGTTCACACCTTGGGTCGGTCCATGATTTCAATGAGACTGATGAAAAGCGGATTACAGAGGGCAGACGTCTCAACTTCATGAATAATGGATGACTCAGTCTTTATAAGCATGAAAGAGATTCCAGTAAGCATATAGACGCACATGTATTAGCATTTATACGTGTATAGACATGTGAGTAATAGGATAAATGGAAATATGAGACGCTTTTGTCCAAGTGTTAAAACAAATCACGAAGCCATGTGATAACAGAAATCTGCTAGACATTACAAAGATTAAAGAAAAATACTTATTATGTATGATGATAAAGGCATAAACTATTGCTCTACTCTCCTTCTATTATTTCACCTCTTATTTTGTCATTTGTGTCAATATTCTATACAGTACAAAAAAGTGCATTTTCATTCAATAAAGCGACGACAAACTATAATGTAATATCTCTTCAATTCATTTAAATTCTGTTGTTGTTTTGTTCTTTTCTTCTTGTCATCTATAAATCGATGCACTTTTATACAAAAACACTCTGTGTTGTTCTGTGTGTGTGTGTGTGTTAAACTGTTACTTTTACACTGTTCAATTCGTGGTTAATTCCTACTGTGTTCATCTTTTCATTTGTAATAAATGGAGAGTTAAGCAATGGAAAATCGGGTAAACTTGTAGATCGGTTCAAGTTGCTACACAGCATGTGTAAGTAAAATGGAATGAAATTATGAAGACAAATATCAGCTGTAGAAGTAGTAATAGTATCAGTAGTAGTCGAAAAAGATTAACGATGAGAATATTATATGAGAAAGACAAATGAGTTTATGAAGTAAGAATTGTAAATAGGACAAAAGAATTAATGCATCCGATTGATTATTAGCTGTAAACCGAGAGAATTCAATTGAGTCACTAATCTCTTCTAGATAACGTTCTTGGATAAAACAGTAATAATAATAATAATAATAATAATAATAATAATAATAATAATAATAATAATGCGAAATGAACTTGGTACTTAATCATGAAGTTATAGTAGCATGGTGAAGTTAAACACCAAGTCCATCCAAGGCATGGTTAATTTACATTACAACTATAAAGCTAACATCGATTAACTCAACATTCATTGGCTTCATAGACTGCTCGAATTTATCGGTCTACTTCTCTATTCCGGCGTTTTGGTTTAGACATTGGACTATAAACTCGTAATATATAAGACAGTTGCATCAATCAGTATGATTGGTAAAATGATCTGTTCGTGTGCCGACGAGTAAGTAGCTTCGAGATGAAATCCCCAAACAGGGTCAGCCTATGTAAAATATCCGAAATTAAACGGATAATTTATGTTAGTAGTTCATTTCTCGTTCGTTCCTTCATTATTCCTGATGGGATAGTGATTTTGAGTGCTGTTAGGCTCTTTACTCGAACACTACTAGTCGAGTCAGAGCTTATGGCGAACTTTCATCTGATTTTTCAACCTCAAGTGGTGTCCAATAAGGTGGTTGTCCACTATCTCCATTTTTGTTCGACTTCATCATAGACCTACTGCCGGAAATAATGTTCTCGTCGACTGAATTTTCAAGCATTGATCCCCTTCAAGGAGGTTTACTTATCGAATTAGAATACGCAGATGACATGGTCCTGTTTGGTGAAGACGCTGATAAAATGCAGTCTTTTGGTGGCACTCAGAAACAATGCCAGGATGCTTGGGATGCGTTTCTCTCCCTCTAAATGCAAGTTGTTGTTCCAGGACTGGCCTGTGTCAACACCTTATCTAAGGATAGGGAGTGAAGTAGTTGAACGCTTAGACAACTTCACTTATCTTTGAAATCTGATAAGTCCTAATGGGTCGGTGTTTGAAGAAATCTCAGCACGGATTCGGAAAGCTCGTTTGGCTTTTGGCAACTTACGTCACCTATGGCGAATGTGAGATAACCTTCTATCAATTAAGGGACAAGTACACTGCGCAGCAGTTCGTCCTGCTCTACTTCACGGCTGCGAAACGTGGCCATTAAGAGTAGAAGATATTCACAAGTTACTAGTATTTGACCACAGATGCCTTAGAAATATTGCTGGCATCTGCTGGGATCACCGAGTAAGTAACAGTGAGGTTAAACGCAGGGTATTACGGAATGATGGTAAATCAGTTGATGAGGTTGTGGATCCTCATCGACTGAGATGGCTGGGCCACGTATTACGTATACCTCAACACCGACTACCACGACGCGCAATGCTGACTAGTGTTGGGAATGGTTGGAAGAAAGTTAGGTGCGGCCAAACCAAAACATGGCATCAGTGCTTGAAGTCAGAAATATCTAGTCTGTGCCATGTTAGTAGATGCAGACTACTTGGTTGGGGTCCGCGTGACGATCGTAACTAATGGTTGGAATATATCTAATGAATATATTTAATGTATGAATTCTATAGTAATTACTTCAATTTTCTTTAAACGACGCAGAAGGAAAATATACAGACTACCATGGTGATACTTATGAATTTCTCAGTAATAAGATTCATGATAGATATTCAACATTTTATGAAAGCCAGTAAGTACATATGATTGGTAAACATAGTGTACGAAGACAGTTTTAAGACAAGGAAATTGCCAGTAATTAATGTATGTTTGGAAAAACAACAGGTCAGAAATTTGATCAAGTCTCCATGTCATATCACTTAGATGTCTAAATTGGAAAGTAGACATTGAGGAAAAGGTTCAAAAACCAACTACACTCTATCGGTAAAATGACAGAAAGCAATTTTTATAAAATTAGACAGTATACATTTGTTAATATATAAACTTACGGCCACAGGTATAACTTGATATTCAGCAGCAAATAAGAACACAGGTGGGGCTGTCGGTGTAGTACCATACAAGAAACCAAATGTAGAATAACGTAATGTTTCATTAGCCAATGCAATAGGCATCATTTGAACAACAAGTTCACGTGTAATAAAAGGAACAATCAAACTATTAAATTAAATTGTAACAGAAAAGAGAAAAAGTTAGACATGTGATTTCGTAAACCATCTTTTTTTAAAAACTAGAAAAACTACTCTAAAGTTTGTAGCAATACGTAAGCTGTTAAAGAAGAAGAGTGTATTTGTAAAATCTCAGCGAATTAACGTCTGCTCATGTGGCCTAATGGATAAGGCGTCTGCGGGTTCGAGTCCCGCCGTAGGTGTGAATACGTAAGCTGGTTTTAGAAAGAAACGCACGTTAAATGTGTCGACATTATTTAATTCATAAAATTGAGAAATAGAAAACTATCATGATTAAAATTCAGAATTTGGTGAAGAATTCTACAATGATAACTTCTTACTAATCAGTATAAATAACTTCATTTTCTAAGAAGAAATCTAATAAATATCGTTTAGGCAATCAGTTATATACAACGTGCAACTTCGTACATGTGTACATCGGTTCAAGTTGTCACATTTCATTAGCATAATGAGATAAAACTGTCAAGGTGAATTTCAGAGTACTAGAGGTAGTAACATCATATGATAGTAGAAAAGATTAGGTATCGAAGATAAGATTCGAGGAGAAAATATGGATTATTGAAACCAAAAAAAATTGGATGGTAATTTAGAAACTTAGGAAAGAAAAAAGAGTGGTTGTACTTGTGCGATTGTGAACGATTCTGAGTCACTGTCATTCAAATCCTCCGACCATTGGTTATTATAATCACGATGACTCAACCAGGTAGTTAGTTTTTATATACCTACATGGCTCAGTTTAACAGTCAGCGTTTTCATGAACTGATGCTACGTCTTGATTTGACCGTCCCTAACTTACTTCCAACCTATTTCTACACTAGCCATAACCAAGTATCAAGGTAAGCAGTGGATAAGAATACTTAATACATGTCCTAAATATAGCAAGCGATAAATATACAATACCTCATCGATCGATTTGATATCTTTACTTAGTATCTTGAGTATAACTTAATATAAAGTTTCTAATTCGCAAAAACTCACTAATTCACATTATAACTATCTTCAATACAGATTTTAATCTAACTTCATTTGACTGGAGTCAAAGTGTAAACATCGAAGGTTGGTGATATTAGTAATGAAAATGACAAATAAGCAAGATTTCGTTATATTTTACCAAATACCAACATAAAGTTGATAATTTAGTGGATTTAAAGTAATCGACTTTCAACTAAATAGGTTACAGATCCGAATCATTTTTCATTTATTTTAGTTTCAGCATTCGGGTAGTATCACTAATTCTTATTAACAGCGTGGCTCAATGTCAAATGCATTAATCTGTAGTTGATAAATGAATTGCATTAATTAATCATTTATTCACTAGTGACCAATTTATAGGATTCTTGTAGTTTTAAAGAGGAAAAAAGAGGCCGATGGTATTTTTCAAGAGTGAGACAGGTATCATTGACTACAACCGACTATATTTATGAAATATCACGAATTAACTGAAATCGAAAATATGAAACATTGATTGTCGACTCAGGGATCTAGAATTGACTCATTCGATGTGAGATCTGAGGGTGTGGATATACACTGCTAATTAGAAGTTCGATACTAGAACGAAACAACCGTTCAATACTCCCTATTTTCAATAATTATCTAGGTAAAATCCGTTCGTTATGTGAGCGAACTTCAGATAAAACAGTTTCCACGAACCTCCGAAGCTATTAATACAGACTACGTAGGAAGTAGACACACATCGAAGAAAGGGAACTTACAGTTTTGTCAATAGGATTGTTGTCAAAATGTAAGCTTCTCTTTGAGTGATGGTAGACATTTTGCCAACCATACCATAACCGAGTGAAAATAAAGCAGTCGCACCGAAGGAGTCAGCTTTCAAAAGAACATTAAAAAGACGAAATATGTTTTATAATGGGCCAAGCTTGCATGCAAGATTAAAAGTACAACAAACCCTGGCAATCAGTAACGAAACGGATGACAGACATGAAAAAAACAAATCAACTAGAGTAAAACTCTACAATCACATGAGGATTTTTTAAAAATATGCTTCGAGGTTGGTTCTACTCTCTTTAGGACATTACTCGTCGAAATTGCCATAAACTGGTATTTAATGAAGTGGTTTTTATAGAGATTTTAAATTAGTTATTGAAAATCGGAGAGATCTGGGCCAGTTTCTTTACATCTCGGTTAACGGCAGCATAGAAACGAGACAGCATATTGATGACTAAACATGATAAACTGATTGAATTTTTTAAAAGTAGGGACTATTGGATTTCAGTTGACGAGAAGGCTTAAAATTTTCTGGATTCAGTCTAGTGTTTGTGGAGCTGTGACTCAATAGCTAAAAGTGTACGACTTTCAATCATTCAACACTAGATTTGAAATTTTTTCGATCTATTTTAAATTGGACAACTGCCAATATCATCAGCTCTCATATGTAGAGTGCGGCTCGAAGCCAAATACACGAATTTATATCCTATGAGTTTTGTAGTGTAATTGTCGCATGATGAGCGGACTGATGAGGAATCCAAAGTTAAAAAGAAATAGCTGCCCAGTGCTTTTTGATTTTCAATGACTCACCAGCATAAAAAAGCATGAATAACGGTCATTTGAAACAGAAGCGATTGTATTTCGTAGGTCACCCATATGTCAGTGAAATGAAGACTCAACTGTGACGTTTAATTCTTGTTCATAATATCAGAAGTGAATTACTACTGAATGAGTATAACATTTTTTAAATTTTAATCTATACATTATGGAAAAACATAAAAGATTTAGACGTCTAACTGAATGAAGTTGGGAATTTGACCATAGTGATGTTATTGTTAAACCACTGATCCAAACAGCTCTGATCAATTTGATGTACCAGATGTGCTGATGTACTGAATAATTTACTCATTCCAAAATGAATACTCATAAATCTATCAGTGGTGATTTCAACCTGCATTTAAACGAAACGACAGTTTTGTAGTTAGATAGTTCTGATTCATTTAACACACAATCCGATATCAATTGATATGACTAGGTACTATTTATCTCCACATATTACTCAATACTGAAATAACAAACAACTAATTAGTACATGAAACCTATGCGCTATAAGATTGGCTCAAAGATATCGTGTTTGTCATGAGAACTGAAAGTTTTGTATTCAATACCATGTGAGGTAGGAAGGGATTATGCCAGTGAGCACTTATACTAATGGAGAGTTTCAAACTACCAAAAAATAACAATCTATAGAATATTGATTTCCAATGATACTATAATTTTGATTTTTTATCTTTAACAAAAATTACCCTCATAAAAAGTCCGAAATAGCAGTAATTTAAGAAAAAAAAAACAGGAACACTCACCTATAACACTGAGCAAGCCATTTATATACACTGGTAAATGGTGCTTCAATATAAGATTAAAAATGATACCAATTAAAGTCATGAAAATTAAAGGATTCTTGAGAACATTGAACATAACCTATGCAATAGAAAGAAATAAGTGGATACATGTAGACAATAATTACAAGAGAATAATAACCGTCATGATGATAACATGTATTCAGTACAATTGCACTGTAAATAGTTCATTGACAAACTTTAATTAATTACACACTAACAAACTTATGGAGAGAATTAGTATCGATCCAAAAATGAAGCATAAATATCTTTCATTTGTCAGTAAATAACAGATTTCTTGTTGAATAAACCTGATCACAATGTAGCTGAAAAGAAAGTCATCTAAAATTTAATAATTCCGAGTATTTGTAACTAAGTAAGAAAGAGTATGGTGAGCCCCCAAATGCCCTGGTACGGTCGAGAGTGGGGAGAGTCAGCACTCCCTCTCCAAATGCTCTCACATGGCCACGTGCATACAACCACTGTCAGGGAAGTCCTACTCACTGCTTTCTCGCATCACGAGTGTTGTTTACGAAGTTGAGAGGACGAAAAGCGAATGTCCGGAACTTTAACCAGGTTGGTGGATACGGAGCATTCACCTAGGGGATTGGGAAAAACCTGATTACAAACCAATGGTGCACATGGGCTCCGGTATGCTGAAGGAACAAATGGCGTATGAACCAATCGTTGGTCACCGGCTATCATGAAACTGTATCTCCTGGAGTTGCTTCACTGCCTTTTGGATCAGACCTTCAGGTCAAAGGCTCCGGGTGAGGTTACCCAAGAAAACCACCCTCTTTGGATCGGGCACACGAGCAGTATTCAAGCCCCTTAGACAAATCGAATGATTTACGTGGAGTATATCTGCTTGGTGCCTCCTTGTACCAATGTTTATGTGTTTAAATAACTAAATAAATAATCTTTTAATAATGAGAAAGGTTTTTGAAGTCAGTAGAAAAACGGTTTAAAGTAGACGGAAAGTTGTTGCTGAGTTCTGAAAAAATCTCAGTCATTTATGGAAACAGCATGCCAATCAGGGTTTGAGTTCTCTAATTGAAAAAAATCATTACTGCTAAAATTTTAAAAGATATTCAACTGAAATTAGTGAGGAATTAACAACCAATAATGATAGTTGTTATTTATCTAGAATGGATCACACTCGGAACACCATCAGACACTGTACCATTTCGATCTTCAACGATAGAAGAATTTAAATTCACACAAGTTCAAATACCATTCTATCAATTAGTATTCACAAAAAAAGGTCGGAACTCCAGTATTTAAACCAGTGGTATTCAGTTTTTAAGCTGTCTACTTTATGAAATTCAATTTTTGGAGTAGGATTATGTCTGTAATAAATCAAATTAAGCCTCAAAGCTTAGTAACATATCAATCTGAATTTAATTGAGTACCACAAATTGTTTGAAATTATTAATATCCGTGGCAGTTTGGGAGTAATCTAGGTTTTATTCGAGTTGATACTTATCAACAAGTAGTTTTAACCTTGAAGGGAGTAATTTTCTACGTGTCGCTCGGTTTTAAAATGATAAACGTTTCTTTTGGGCTACAAATTACCTCAAATAAGACTAAGATGTTTACAAACTAGTTAATCACGGACTATTAAACTATTTTGTATTGAGCAGTCTTTGGTATTATATAGATTCAATTAGTCAAATGGCAATAGGCCTGTAGTGCTTCTATGGTTACTGCCGGTCCCAAGTGCTGATAAACGAGAAGAGTTGGGCATGGGGTCAACAGCCCCATCCAGTAGGAAAAAATATTGTCAAAAATCATTTAAACCATTCACACTGTATCTTGGGATTTGAAGAGTCTTCATTTAAAAGGATTATGCGGCCTTATTGTGAAAACCGAGATTCGTTGGAAGTTATGAGGCCGATGCCCTTTCTAACAACTAGAGCAACGATTAATATAGGTACATGGAATGTCCGCACAATGTGGGAGACTGAGAGGATCGGTTAGAAAGCTGAAGAAATGAGGAGACACAAAACTGTGGTGCTCGGAGTAAGTGAAACCGATTGGATGCAGGCTGGACAAAAAACATGAGGTTCGGGTAACATGCTGTTGTACTCTGGTCATCAAGAAAGTGCTTCGCACACATAGGGAGTTGCACTAACGCTGTCCAAAGGAGCGCAAAAGGAACTTATAGGATGGGAATCTCATGGACCTAGGATCACCAAAGCATCCTTCAGAACAAAGAAGGGGGTCACAATGAACGTTTTCCAGTGCTATGCACCCACTAATGGAAGCAACGAAAACAATAAAGATCAGTTTCAAGGAAGGCTGCAATAGATCATAGCGAAGTGCTCAGAAAAGGACCTGATTATCCTGATGGACAGCCTAAATGCCAAAGTCGGAATGGGCAACACCGGGTATGAAGACATGGACTGGGAGCAAGGAATGAAAATGGGTGGAGTATGATGATTCGGAATTCGCAGATGACCTGGTCCTTTTATCCCATACACATCAACAAATGCAGGTGAAGAAACCCAGGGTACCAATAGCCTTTTCAACGAAAGGCCTCCAAATACACAAGGAGAAAATCAAGATCCTGAAATACAACAGTGAGCAACAACCGGTTCGCATTTGATGGAGAGGCTCCGAAAAAGGTGGGAACTTTTACGGGTATCGGCACTATCATTAATAAACAAGGGGGACCTAATGTATATGTAAAGACAAGGATTCGCAAAGGAGGGGTACTATTCCTACAACTAGAGAATATATGGGAGTGAAAACAACTGTCGGCTGACCCCAAAGTCAGAATCTTCAATACAAAGGCCAAGTCAGTTCTATTGTACGGAGATGAAACTTGGAGAATCCCCACAACAATCATCAGAAAAGTACAGGCATTTACAAATAGTTGTCTGCACAATATATTTAATATCCGTTGGTCGGATACCATGAGCTTCCAACTGAATAGGAAATCACCAAACTGCATCACGAGGAAAGCCCTAACATGGAATCATGAAGGCGAAAGGAAAAGAGGCAGACCGAAGAACACTGCGTCGGGGAGTCGAGTCAGATATGAAAAGGATGAACATAGCTTGGAAACAACTAGAAAGGGGAGGTTGGGATAGTTGGTTGGAGGATCCTGGTTGGCGGTCTATGCTCCAAGGATGTATGTAGGTAACCTGATCGCTAGTCCACATGAATTGACATAATCTACATAATATGTCTTCACTTGACCATTTTTCCTTTGGATATTCATGGATGGTTCGTGATACTACACCCAAGGTAAGTGGAATGGGATTCGAATATGTGAACTAGTGGTTCAGAAGGCCGAACTCCTTAACCACTTCTAAGTAGCTACATTACAATAATAAATACTGAATATATGTAGTTAAATACAAAAAAAGCGTTGGTTCTATAGAAAAGCCTTACCTGTGTCAATTGTTGGCATCGACCACATGGTGGGACTGAATTCGAGCTTTTACCATCTATTAATTGTCTTCTATCAATATCACTATCTTCACTATGAATTAACGGTTTAAGCTCACTATTAGTTAGTCTGACTCGTTCTAGCTCCAATAGAAAATAAGCGAATGGATTAAGAACAATCAGTTGGATTGGCGCAAATAAATAAATATAACTAGCCAAATCAGGGAAAAGAGCATAGACTAAAATTTAAAAGAGGGAAACAAAGAGATGGTTATTTAATGAAAATATGACAGTAGAATCTAATCGACCAGTAATGTGAATTGTTGATTCAGAACAGATTTGTATCAACACCCAGAAAGGCCGAAGGGAGTGCTAGGAAAGTAGTTAAGTGCATTTTTCACTTCATTTGTTATCGAAGTTTCATCACCCTTAATGAGCTGGTGGCTGGCAAAATCCTGGCACCAACACATAACACTTGCTTAGATTTTACTAAATCGTGTCACCTGTTGAGTAAGGAAGATAACTCTCTGTTTATTAAACAGTGAATATACTAGACATTATTCCCCTGTCTTACTTTAGGGCTGTGATATAGGACGTTTCTAGAGTAGAGGATATCCATAGCTACTCTTATTTCATCACAAAAATGTTCAAATAATTGATGGCATATAGCAGAACAGTTAGGTAAGTAATACTGCAGAGATTAAACGCCGGGTCATAGGTAAATATTTCAAGTATGTTGAGGCTACGAAGTTATCCATTGACTGAGTAATCGAGACATAAGTCACAGGTGCACAACCACTAGTTACTACAATGCTCAGTGTTGGATGGAGCAGAAATAAGTTGAAATAAAATTAGGGGACATCAAACCAAGGTGTAGTATCAGTCCGTTGAGTCACTCACTGCTGATATGAACCATGTTTGGCGGTGTAGATTATCCAGTCGAGGTTTACATGATAATCATGAGCGATGGCTGAAGAATATAAGTAGCATATCTCGAAATCGGTCTCAGTCAGTCACAACGTAGAACTTGTACTTATGTACATTGGTTCAAGTTGTTATACGCCATTAGCACAGAGAGATGAATTTGTCAGGCCAAACCTCAAAATAGTAATGGTAGTAACTGTATCAGAGGTAATATGAAAGATAAGGTATGGAAGATACGACTGGAAAAGAAAATACAAATCCGTGAAGTAAAAACAAGAAAAAGTTATGAGGAATTTAAAATTTTAGGATTTGAGGGGAGACGAAGAGTGGATGCGCCTGTGCTATTGCAAACGATTTTGAGCCATTTCATCTAAAGTCTCTAACCGTTGGTTACAATAATCAAGAGGATCCCAACCAGGTGGTATGTGCCTAATAACATGGCTAAGTTCAATTACCAGTGACTTCATGGACTGATGCCATGTTTTGATTTGGCCGCCCCTAGCCTTTTTCCAGTCTGTTCCTGCACCAGAAAACATCGCTCATCGAGGTAGGTAGTGGCTGAGCATAAGTAATAGATATCCAAATCACCTCAGTTAATGAAGATTTACTACCTCATCAATAGATTCGCCATCTTTGCCTAGTATTCTATACTTAACCCAGGCATTTCTTACTCCGTGTTTCCAAAATACACGAGTAGTGTTTCGCAGACACCTATGATCGAATACCAGTAAACCACGAATATCCTTTACTCTTCATAGCCATATCTCACGTCCACAAAGTAGAACAGAGCGAACTGCTGCGCAGCAAGCTCGCCCATTGGTTGGAAAACGGGTATTTCACCTACGCCATAAGTGACGCAAGTTGGTAAAAACCAATCGGGCCTTCTGAGTCGACCTCAGTGATACAGATGTATTTATTTCTCATCTTTTTTTCTGAGTGCTGAGCTTCATTGTTAATTCAGATTTATTATTTTATTCCTTCTGGCCGGACCATATTCTCTAAAGTTGATCTTTATTACTATTAATGATAATACTATTGTCTTAAGTCTTGTGCTATTCGTCTTGATAATTTCGTTTCATTATGTTGATCTAATGTGACAACTGAGATTGGTACATATCTGAGCCAGGTGTACATTGGTTAAGACTGATTGGATGTAATTATTAAAAAAATGTATGATGAGCCAATTACTTGTAGAGATTTATCTAACATATATGATACATAGCAATTTTCAGTAAATTATCCAGAGAAGCAATCTTACAGACAAGGAATATGTGACTAAAACTATAATGATTGTAAATGTCAAGTCTCTGGATGAAAATTAATAAAATTTCAACTAAAATCACCAACAAAGCTTAGAATTTCTACGGTAAGAAAACAGTTATTGCAGTTCCATTTATGAGAATGATTCAAAGGATGTTATTCAATATCAGTGGCTACTAGTGTTTTTCTCGACACAATAGATTTTGCAACATCTGACGTTCCCTACTATGGTTCACCACATGAATGACGGGTGTTCAGTGGTCACGGTGTTCAAGTTTCTGCCACTAAATGTTTAAAACGAGTTCATAGGTTGGAAGGATTTAGATAGCATAGAATAAAACTAACCATGGTCATTGGTACATTCACCTATTGACATTCACCTATTAACATGTTTTAATTACTGTTCTTCTACATATTTCTTATCATTTAATAACCTCTTTCAATAATTTCATTATTTTTACCGGTCTTCTATCCGTCAGGCAGTTTAGGACTGAAGTTATGTGAAGTAATTAACTACTGTATTACGTGCTTTACATTTATCTGGTCGGTCAGTTCAGAAAGTGGAAAAATGACTAAACTTTGAATGTAGTTAGTAAACAAATAACAGAGTAACTGTCATAGTGAATCAAGGTTGTATCTTTATTTCGCCCGACTATTATCCACCTTGTGTAGAGATATGACTGGCTGATATGAACGCAATGTTCACATATTCGAACTCCGTTGTTCCTACCTTGGCGCAGCAATCCGGTTCGCCTATTGTGATGGCATAACAAAGGTATGTTGGTTAGGACACGTTTATTAAGGCTCAGCCATACCAGATAGATTACGTGGAAAGAGTAAAGACCAAAAATATCGAGTATTAAACCTGAAGATGAAGTTGACTGAAATGCCATTTGAGAGCAATAAGGTATTTTCCGCGGATAACCAGCGTCCTCAGAGACAACCTGCTTAAATACGAAAGGATAAGTTGAAAAAGTAATGTCAAACTAACAAAAAAAGAACGTTCGCCTTCTTGCGCTATTGGTTTCTGGTTCTGATGGTGATGTTTAGAGAGTGGGGAGCTAATATAGAGAACAGAAAAAGGTAACATGTGAACGACTTCTAATAGTTGACTTTTGGGTTTGGATTCCCATTTACAGGTCATCAATACCATACAAATACATTTTCAAATCCTCCAAAGAGATGTAATGTCAGGGTGTGAGCAAACAGGAAATATTAAATGCTCAAATGTGCACACAAACCAGAACTTACACAATAGGCGTAGCTTATAACCCAATACGCAAATACAAATACGTTTGCTTGTTAAAATGACTAATTTTTCTTAACTTAAAGCACTCGTTATTAGGTACACTTGAAGTCTATTTTAAAATCAACAAGCGAGTATATAAAAACGAAAGTTATCATCATTTAAATATCCAAAAGCAAGTTAATTTTACTAATTAATGGAAAAGATAGTATTATAAACAACTCACGTATAGGATAAGCTAATGCTACATCATTGGTCTGAGATACAAACATAGCAACAATAGCAGCTATGCCCAGATGAAAACGTCGACTGATTAAATACGTGAACGTAATTGCCATTATAAAACCGATCAATTTACTGATAGATATAGCCATGACGAAAGACCAACAGACACCAGAAAATTAATTGTTACCATGGCCTAGAATAAATCAATAAAGTTTTCAGTCAGACAAAGGAAAGATAATAGTGACTGTACACCAACTGCTGATTTATAAGTGAAAAATGGAAAAACAAGATTATTAACCGATCAATTACTGTTATAGTTGTTCATAAGATAAAACATGATTAGTAGAGCAGAGCACTATAGTATATATCACAGAATGTGTGTGATCGAGTGTTTGAGGAGTGAGTTATTTATGTTCCCAATTTAGTTTAGTGAAATTTGTATGAGCGCTTTTGAACTGTTTGGATGTCCAAGCCGAAGTAAATGATTTCCTTAGTTCCTTGGGTCTTTAACTCAAGGGTCTACCTCGCAAAGTAGGAGTAAGTCGAAAGATCAATACCTATGGTTGTTAGTTATTCAAGTGGGTTTAGAAACTATTTGTTCCGTGCCTGAGAGCCTACACGACTCATAGGTAAGAAATCAGAGTTCGCTACCCCTACCACAAAGACCCTTGCTATTTCCCATCCCATTTTAATTGTCAGGCGTTTGTTTTCGATATTTTGCTAATTATAGGCCCTTTCTTACTGCGAAGACAGAGACCACAAATGTCCCAAAAGCGAATATGGATTCTTAGTCGTATGAAGACATATCTAGACAGAGAATGAAATTTTTATTTTTATCTGTAACAGTTAGATACTATCAACATGGGGCCTGGAGTACATGTACGTAAGTCCAAGTTTCCATAATAGAAAAATACAAAACAGGATCGAAGTAATGTGTTAGCAATGATGGAAAGACTAAAACTCGTAAATAAAGTTTTAAAAAACATATGTATTTATTCAAACACATAAACATTGGTAAAATGTGGCACCAAATAGATATGCGCCACATAAATCACTAGATTTGTATGAGGGATGGGATACTGCCCGAGTGGTCGAACCAAAGAAGGTGGTTTTCTTAGGGAACCACACCCGGAGCCTTCAACCTGAAGGTCTAATCCACAAGGCAATGGAGCATCGTAAGTAGATGCAGTCCCATGGTAACCGGTGACCAACAATGAGTGCATACGCCATTTGTTTCTTTAGGATCCTGGAGTCCATGTGCACCATTGGTTTGGAATCAGGGTTTTCCAAATCCCCTAGGTGAATGCTCCGCATCCACCAACCCGGTTAAAGCGCCGGACATTCGCTTGTTGTCCTCTCAATTCCGTAAACAACATCCCTGTCACGAGAAGGCGAAGTATTAACGTAAGTACGAGGGGATATTGAGATTCAAGATCACAGAGATAAAAACAAAATGCATCTTGGCCATTGCAAACGACTCTAAGCTACTAAGATCAAGGTTTGAAGCCACCGGTGACAATTAATACGCGGATCTCAACCAGGTAATTTGTATCCATTTAAATGGCTCGGACAAACAGTCAGCAACTTCATGGATTGATGCCACATTTTGACTTGATAACTCCTAGCTTTTTTACAGCCTACTTCTGTACTACCAAGCATCAGGTCAAGGTAGGCAGCGGTTAGGCAAATGTAACATAAGTCCCAACCACCTCATTCAATGAAGATTTAAAACTGTCGACCGATATCACGTTTCCTAAGTACTATATGCCTAACCCCTATATTGCACACCCGTTGGCATCACAAAACACAAGAAATGATTCGAAGACATTTATTAACAAAAATTTTGAGCCTGCGCTGATCTTCTAGCAGTGAAAATTATTAAAAAGGATAAACAAAATGACAGAGGCAGGGTGTTCTGGAAGGTGAATTGCAACCACATATCTCAAATCATGTTTTCCTCACTTTGCCGGTTTTTCCCCTCAAGTATTTTCTACGTTACTTTCACAACTTCTGAATATACATTCAACAACTGACCTTTCAAAACTGGTCATTGTTTCCCTTTCTAAAAATAGATTTCAACCGTATAATAATTTTAGATAAAACTATATTATACTAAACTACATCAGAGCATAAGTAAAACTGTACGGCTGGACAACTACATTTATAAAACGAGATATTTTTCACTAAAAATCTATACCTTCATGATCAAAGAAGAAACCCGCCCCGATTAAATGAATACAAAAATTCATTAGCAGTGAAATAATTTCATGATGTTCTGACATATTTTGTTAAATTTATCTAAGTTATCACGAAACATTTGTATATAGAAACCATACATTAAAATTACACCTAGAAATATCAGAATAATGGTGACCCTGAATATTTGGCTTCCAAGTATAATGCTAATTGTAATGTTAGTTACGTTTGTGTACGCACTGAGGGAATGATTACGTCAGTGAACTGGTTTTTAAGTTTGTGAGCTTATAGTTTGTAATTACTCACTAACCTTGATCAGCTGATTAAAAGTTAGCTGGGACTAGAGTATAAAAAGATGCAAACAATTTCTATCCAGTAAGACAAACATTGTGGTTGGATGAAATGACTACAATATATGGGACTGTTACAGTGACAAAAAAGGACCACACCCCATTGAGTTTCTAAGTTGACTAGCCTTTTTTGAGAGGTATGTACCAATATGGAAAAATGTGCGAAGTAATACCTCTAATCTGAAATAGTTTTCTGTTGATCATGTTGGTCATACTATATTCTCACTTTCAATTATTGCAATTTACCAATTTAATTAGGATAAGAATAAATATTTCACTTCTTATGACACTAATTTTATAGATTAGGACTAAGTTGTGACAGTTGTGTAGCGTAATAAATTACACTTTTTAGAAAATGAGGTAGTTTATGAAATATGAGGAAGTGAATGCACAAAGATTTAATTTTCAAATACTCAACTTGATGAGCATTAGGATGCACCAATCAATCAGTAGTGAGTCAACCAATAGAAAAGCCCTAGTGGCACTAAAAAATAATAACTGGCAAATCATGAGAAGACTTACGCGAAAAAATACAGTGGGCAAAGCGAATCTAGTGACATAGAGGTTAAGTCCCTTAGCTTGGGATTCCGAAAAAATTTTCAGGAGGCCAGAGATATAACCCAAGAGTATTACACCAAAACACTGAGTCAGCACTGGAACCAACTCACTGAATACTTCATGATAGTTAACTGTCGAATTAGTAGCAGTAGGCAAAGATGCTCTTATCGACGTAGGTTTGTTGTCCATTTCTCTGGAAAGTGAACTGAAATAAAAATTTAAAAAAATAAGTGGTCTGCTTGCCGGCTATCCTCATTTAAATATCGTTTTAGAACTAAGCGAGAATATGATTTATGGTAGAACCAATCAGATTTACGACAACAGGTTGTTGATTTCGGCGAGAAATCTATTTATTAATATTGGCTAAATAGCATTTCGGCATTATAGGTGATGTCAGTTGGTGACGAAAAATCCGAATCTAATTACTAACCCTGACGTTCGACTGTAGGTCCCAATCCAAATGCATAACACTAGTCTACAACTATCTTTTAACTATAATAAGTAGGTAATCATTCTTACGGTCACTTTGGTGTCCATCAAAGGTTGTCCATAAATTATAGTTGCACCTAGAAACGTCAAATAATTTTGACAAACCTTACTAATCGATATTATAAGTTATCTGTGAAATCTAAAAATTTCATGCCGGTATACCGGCACTCAACATCACTAACATGTTCTATAAAATGGGCCCTTATATTTGCCATTTTTGGCGATGAGCTCACATAAAGATTCTTCGGCTGGTAACGAAAGATTTGTTCGGTTAACCTACCACAATAGACGTCGAATGCGTATTTAGCATGAAACGAGAAGATAAATTAGTTTATAATGATGTTCGGTACCAACAACACTTACTTATATTACACGAAAACCCTTCTCTTTCAGTTTTTGCAAAACACAACCTTTGAACGATGAAAACCTGACGTCAATTTCACCTTCTTCTAGCTCATCAAAGCCATAAAGTGAGTTGTAGCAGCTTCTGCTCATGCAAAGACGAACACATTTAGTATGTTCGAGTGAAGAGCTATTGTGTTCTAGTGGGCAAGTATCACTACAGTTTGTGGCAACTTTCTGAAACAACTGTTCGTTTGTGGCTTTGCGTTTATATTGATACACAGGAAATTTGAAGAGCGACCTCGCGGAAGACCCACAAACAAGCAAAACCAAATATATAGTGAGGATTATTGACATGCGCGGAAGGACGCGAAATTCACCTACACAACTTTAATTTGAGTGATTAAAACACATGATGGCTGACAGTTTTTTGAATTAAAAACTCTACGAAAACGGACTGACCGTTATAAATATTATGGTTTTTAAGTAATGCGTTGATGAAAATGCCATTCAATTAGTGTTAATATTTTTGTGCTGGAAATATGGAGTCCCCAAATACGACTTATGTGGAAGATAATGGACGTCAATCTAAGGTGAATATGGGATTGGCTTTTGATAGATTTCCGTTTCATTACTTCATGAGTACACACTTTACAAATCATTATCATTGTAACTGATATATAACTGATTCATTTGTGTGCCTTTTTAATTCTGCCAAGGATGTCACAAAGTTTTTATCAAGAAACGGAACTTTTCTCTCATGTTTTCACGGCACTGAGGGAAAAACAGGAGTATTGTTCAATATGCTGAAGTCAGAGTTGCGGATCTTCTAATTTAGTGCAAAAACGCATCACGACAACCAAACATCCAAGGTTTTCAATAGTATTAGTGTATGGTGACGACTAGCAACAACTGCCTGGTATGAATACGTCAGTGTAACCCAACCATACACATTAGATCGGAGCACATATATGATGAAAGTTAGATTTGGAAATGATAACTCTCGTATGCATTTTAACCTCATCTACAACGATGATCTAATGAGTGTACGGGGGAATGAGAGAGAATGTTGGTTACTTCGCACTTATTGATAAATCAAACTTTCATAAATCTTTACACAGAATCTTCATTCATGCACACCTAACGACTGGCTTACCAGATATTAGTTGGAAGCACGATTTTAGAGATATTTGAGAATACGTAAATGAATTTGATTGAACAGATGATGAGGGTAGTTTTTGTAGCGGCAATGAACCGTCTTTGAAGTTTGATCAAGAAGTTGAACCTTCTGCATATCAGAAGAGACTATGCGATATTGAAAATTTGTCAAACATCGTAAACATTATCAATGACTGACGGAACTACCGTATTCGGTGGAGGAGTTTTCCTGTGAAATTTTTTTCTCGATTTACTTTTCACCCAAATAAAACACTTGATCGATACACCGCCACAGTAGTAAAGGCTATTACCACGGTAGGGTAATCCTGGCCAGATATTGATCACTCAGTATGATTTAAATTAAATGAAGTTGTCAATCTAAAGATCACATACGTATTGGGAGTTTGAAAACACATATACGCGTAATCTATTTGTAATCAAAGTACAAATGCAGTCAAGTCAGAGGTCGAAACGAAGAGTTTCAAATACATATTTGGAATGCTACCGATATGTCGAGGGGCGTTTGATCTAAGCTGACTAGCAGTTGCGGAAAATACGTTTTAGTGGCCCGTTTGATCTGACTCCATTTAGATCGTACGAATGTTTGTTATCACCTATTCTTGTATATAATTGTCGACTTAATCGCGTTAGCCAATAACGGAATTAAATAAGTCGAATAACGAAAATTGACTTGAGAATACATATATTTCGTACATGGAGCGAATGAAACATAGCAAAGCAAAATGACACGTATGGAAGATGGCTGGGAAGCCAACTCCATTATAGTCGAGCGTTACTCAATATTTATAGTCAGACAAAAATAAACTACAAACATGTGATGAGTCATGGGATATGAAGTGTACACACATATACGCTCATATAGAAAAACAGTCAAGACTGATAAGTGAATAATTGACAGGGTCAAAATATGACTCAAGTAGAATGAATAAAATGGAATGTCCGAAAACTAGAATATAATATATATGGGCTTAAAATAATGACTGATGCTACAACGTAGCACGGAGGACCCACTCGTGATCTAGTAAAGATGCTTGACGGAGCACTATCAACTAAGGCGTGTCTAGTAAAAATTTCGAGGTCAGCATCAATGTCCAGGACTTGCAGAAATATTCATCTTGGGGATTTATTTACATCCAGGAATCACTCCTTTCAACTCGAGAGGATCTCTACCCGAATTTACATTGAATCAGGCGTTGATGCCATGTCAAATTACTAAGATTATTGATAAGTAACTACCAGATTACCTAGCACAGTGCTTAGCCTTCTTTTAATGTAATCCATTGAGTTTGTCTTGATGTGGTCCTTAGTTTGCATAAGATCTAAATCTCTCTGGATCATAGCACCTGATTCAATTTCGCAATGTTTTAAGAGAGGTAAACCCAGAAGTGTAGGCATTCTTAGATTCAGATCAAGCCGCCCTTCATTGCGAGTATTCAACAAACTACTTTATAGTCCCTTGTTCTCTATTTCGGTTTGTTAAGAACAGAAGTAAGGCGTCCTGTGTTATTTCCTAGGGACAGTGGTCTTCCAGTTAACCCAGCATTATTTTGAACGCATTGATAGATAGAACTTCAATCACGTATTGATGCAACAAACAACATTCACTGGTAATTCCATGGGAAAGTCGAAAGCGTAGTGCATTTGTGAGGGAGTCTATTAAGCATGTAAGGATGTGTATAACAAATAAGAGTAGACTGATGCAAATATCGAAACTATAAACAGAATGCTGTTTTATGACGATTAGAAGTATTCCGACTATTATACCAATAGGAAGTCTCAAAATAGTACAATTTGGTGTAAGTGGAACATCTGGTTAGCGTTTTTTAGCGAGTTAGTTTTCTACGGGATGGGGTCGATAACCCCATGCTCAACCCTCCTCCTTTACCCGGGCTTACGACCGGCAATAAATCTACAGGCGGAGTTTGCATGTGGAACTAGATGAGCACAAATGAACATATTGTGTTCGAAGTCAGCGGGTTATCAAGCACAAAGGAATCGTTAATTCGTACAAATACCACATCCGCCACAGCTTTAATAAGAATCCAAATGTATGTAATCAGTCGTTTTTCTCCTCAGGTTCATTTTGTGTCTTTCCGATTGTGTATTGGATGTAGACTGTATGATCTAGAATTTACTCATAGGTAATAAATTTAACATCGAAAGTTGGAACGGGCTCACCTGAGTATTTGGAACTTATTCGGTTGTCGTGACTGCCTAGCATACGAACCATAGATTTACTGATCTTATTTAGCAGATTTTCTATAGATTGTGGAAAAGGAGTTGTTTTACAAAGCTTTTTTTGTTCCAGCAATTTCACCATTGTTTCGTTGAGTTTGCACTGATGGAGTTTCTCTGCTCTTCTTTCCGGGTCTTTTAACTTCGCGGCAGTAGTAGAACTGACTTTTATTTTCAAAGTTTTGACATTTCTTGCTCGTGTATCATAACGAGGGGTTTCGGAATCGTGAGTAACTTTTCGCATTTCTATTCCGTCATCAAGCACTTCATTAGAACCTTCTTCGGTGACCAATAATAAAAACCGTATCTGAAGCACTATTAACTTTTCTGGACCGTGTACAGATTGTCCACAGTCAGCGACGAGGAATTTACGAGTTCGTATTGAAAATTTATTGTGTCTAACTAGCGAATTACGGCACCCCAAAATAGGAAGTTTATGACTTGTAATATTCAAAATAAAACTTTGGTAGGCATAATTATAGCATCGGGATTTAATTAATTCGAATTCCTGATTGAAATGATGAACTTAATACTGCCAGTTTCAACAATAAAATCGTGAGGTGCATCACTGAACAGATGTGATCATTTTTGAGTGTCAAGTGAAATACTAGAAGTAGTAAATAAGGATAGCATATGGTTACTAGAATTGCTAAATTAATGAGATCCGATTTGTAGAGTCTTGTATTATTTGCAGGGAAATGCACAGTAGTTCGACAAACTGATTGGATGTCCCCAATTTTACCACATGTAAAGCATTTAGCATTAAGAAGTACATATGAATCAAGTGAGTAGAATTCACCACAGGACAAAAATTTACCAAACATGTGCTCACCGCTCTGACTTGCTCTGAAGTTCCTTAATAAACTGCCATCCACATGACCTTGAGTACTCACAGGATCAGGAAACTAAGCAATCTAGTGAAATTATTGACGCCCTGGAAGTCA